TTCCGCTTAGTTGGCAAGCTATGCATGGAGCCTATCTTGCTCAAAGAAATGCAACATACTTAAAAAATATTTTTATTCGAGAAATTTTGAACGTTAAAAAATGGGAATAGCAACAGGGAACTTATCAGACACAAACGTTGCGGAAAAGTCTCCTCTCAAGACGTCTCTGTTGCCATTCAAATTTCTTTTGACGTTTGTCAAACAAACGCCTAAAATATGCAACTTTCCTTTTTTTTATTTCTGAACAAACTTGAGGAGAGTTGCGGTACAGACAGGCAAAGCTGGAATGTTCTACGCTTGAGTGGCTCCTCGAAAGCGTGGGGGGCTCTTCCGTTGTCTGTCCTGTTTCAAAGTGAGCAGCCGGGAAGGACTCTGTCAACATCAATAGCCGGAGTGTAGCTGCCTCCTCGCCCCTTCCTGTACTTGTTTGAGTAGCCCTAGGGTGGCCAGATAGTGTCAACCCGATAAGCCGCCCAGTCCCTTAGGTAGGCTGGCACGAAGAAGCCTTCTCAGAGAACATGTCCCGATAAAGCTTACTGTTGTGCAAAAAACCTCCCACGTTGGAGACCCCCCTTTTTCTTTTACGAAAAAGTAAGTTTGTTGAGTTTCTACAGGGTCACTGATCCATGGAGAATGGAGCGATCAGAATTCCTCGGGGAGATTTCGGGCAAGTTTTTTGTGTTCTCCGCTACTTTTATATGCCAAACTGGAAGAGATGTATACTATGAAAGACACCCTAGCTTTTCTTCCTTTTTTTTTGTGTGTGTGTGTTGCTGGTTTGTTTTCAGAAGATCGTTTATGATAGAGGATAAACATAATCCCTACATTAGATTTTCCTTACACTTTTTTGCTTATATCCTGCAGTGTTTATTGTACATTCTGCTTGTTTTCTGTGCTTTATTTTTGTCACTTCAGGTTTGCTGGGACTTGGAGGATGTTTGGGGCACTAAAATAAGGGGAGTGATCTTAACCATGGCTAAAGTCTAGGGAGGCTTATTTTTGGGTATTGGAGGCCCAGAGAAAGTGCAACACCATGTGGCATTTCTGTTATACAGGGAGGTTGGAAACCTACTGGGAGCTAAGGCCTTAGCAATATAAGGAAGTAGAGCATCTCCTCGTGAATCCCCTTGTGAACATGACTTATAATAACATAGACATGTCCCAAATATTGAACGAAAGTGAAAGGTGTTAAATTTTGTTTTTCGAATACAGCTCATGTTTTTGACTGTCGTCACCCAGTGATGATTTAGTTGCGAAGTATAAAATTTTATAGATGGATCATCACTGGGTTCCAGTGTGCTTCAATAAAATCTTACTTTTTATTGTAGCATGTGAAGCAATCTTGGGAGATTATGGAATCTAACAGCATAATTCGAGTTGGTCCGTGTCAATTGTCGCTAATTTTATGGAATGCATTTGAAGTTAAGCCTGAAAGCCTCAACTGGAATTGTCTACTGTCTAAATGTTTTTTTCCTTTTTGGCAAATTTTACACAAGTCTGTACAGTACCTGTGTCAGCTTTTTCATGTTTGAAATGAAGAGAGAGAAAAGTTATGTTTTTCGTGTTTCTTAAGATATATGGATTATATGTAGGGATCTTTGTTTTCAGTCTTTAGTCTTGGCATGATTCAGAAAGCTTTTGTTTCCTGAGTCAATTTTTTAGGGCAAATACAGTGTTTATAAAATTTTATATCCACTAAATTAAGAACTTTTGTAACTCTGCATTTATAAGAGCCTGATTTGGTTGTATTTTCAATTTTCCTGACTTTTGAATAAACATTCACACACAAGCACAAAAAAAAAAAAACTTAAAAAAAATTTTTAATTGCAAGCAGTATATATCTATTCACAACACGTTAGGCCTCAACACCACCTGATGTAGCGGAGAGCTCATTGTAGTAAATATAAACAAACATATAAATAAATAATACATGTATATAATTTCAAGATCATTTGCTTGTTTTGGGGCACTTTATATAAATATTATAATTATTATTATAGCTTTTACTGTTACTGAACCATGACCTCCTCCTCCTTGTTAGAAGCCGGAAACCTGGACAGTGGCTTTCGTAATGCACGTGCTTAGCCCAGCTCTTTAATGCGCTGCGGGTATACTGTTGCATGTATGCGTGATCCTGAATGGACATAGACGATAAGCCCATTTTGCCAATTATCTGAGCTTGCGAAAGAGACGAGTTGCTTCATCCTAGGACTGCTGACCTGGTGCTCTAACGAGACTTGGATCCAGGATCTTTCTTGTCGCTGTAACCTGGAATGTATTGGGGTTTTCCGAATAAACCAGAATCAACTGAAACTTTACAGGCATATGTTTTTTCAGTTTTTATTGGTTATAACTAGGGCTGGGCGGTTGATTGATTAACCTACCAATTATTCAATTAATTTTTTAACTACAATACATTTTTTTTTATTGGTTAATCGGTAAAATTTTGACGAACCAAAAGAAAGTAAAAATTACACGCTTTCACCATGCAGACGTGGACAAGTACACCTGGATGAAGAGCAAACTTTAGGTCAAATTTTAGCCTAAAGTAAACTGTAGGAACAAGATCACTCCTGACAAGTGCAGAAGGTTACATGTGTCCCAACCACTTCAACGTCGTTCGAATGTCTGTTTAGCGCAGCAGAGACCATTGTGTACAATAAAAGGAGGTCGCTCTTGCGGGAGAATATCAACAAACCTTTTTTGCCTCATGCAGTTTCAGTAATAATCTGTGAGCGTGAGTGTCTTCGAACTGTTAACTACACATTGGGATTGATTCATAATCAAAATTGTATATTGTGGCTTTTACAACATATTCAACAAAAGCAAAAAAATATATATATATATATTTTGACTTTAAAAAAAAGATAAAAAGTTAGGCATGAAAATTAATGAGACTGATTAATTGATTACTCAATCGATTAAAGGGTGGCAATTAATCGGGTTAAAAATTTTAATTGACGCCCAGCCCTAATTATAACCGGAAGGTTAAAACCCTAGTTATATGTAATATTATAAGAGCCACAGTAAAATTATTTTAATTCATTTGGCTTCACAGTACCAACATTGCAATGCTTGCAGGGGCAAAAGTTTGAATCTTCTGAACTTTCCAATGTTTGAAAATTTTTAAATGTTGTAGGTTTGTATAGTTTTTTAAATGGTGTAAGTTTGTTAGGGTTATCATTCAGATTATTGTTTTAAGTTTGGCATGGGAAAATGTTTAATTTAATTTTGGAGCTCTACTGGCTTAAAATTACACTTGTTTTTATATTGTACTACTCTACTTTGTTCCTTATACACGTTTGCAAATCCAGTCTCAGGGTGCCGCGATCTTGCTCAGTTGGGTGCGCTTGGGCGCGGCCATAATCCGATTAGGACGCCTTAGCAAGGCTTCGTAATCGGATTGTGATGCGTCCAAGCGCACCCGAACCGAACAAGATGGCAGCGCCCTGAAGCGGGACTTGCAAACGTGTAGACATGGGTGCCACGTTTAAAAAAAATTATTTCATCATTTTTGCAATTTTGTGTATTCAATACTATTTCATTGGCATCTGCTTTTTTCATTTACTTTTCACTTGCATGATATGACCTGGCTCTATTTCACTATGGTATAAGGACTTTTGTTGCCTATTTCTGGCAATTTTTTATGGTTTTATGTACAATGTCTGTGCTTTTTGAGCCTGTGGTGATAGCCACTGGAAAAAGATTGCGTGGAATTAAAAAGCAGGATCAGTTCGATCTCGGAATTCATCAGACGTAGTCACTTTTCGTCAGTCTCTCTACATTGGTGACCCGGACGTGACCCAAACATGCAACCTTCTGATCGGGAGTCAGAAGCCCATGATCAAAGCTGTAGTTCCTTGACAATACTCTCTCATGCTTTTCAATGCTTACGCAAACATAAAAAATAGTTGGCCATCATCTCCTCTTACAGGAAAAAAAAAAAAGGAACTTTCTCATTTTGGGAAAAACTATAAAGAGACTTCCTCCCACTCTGGGGCATAGCATTAAAGCTTTGCCCTCATGTATATATTTTTTTTTTTTGTCTGCAGTATATGGGTGCTTTTGTAATTACGTTATGCGAATTCACAGCCTTAAAGCCTTCAGTCATTGTTTCTGAGTGCAATCTATTAGTGCAAAGAAGCATTATTCATATAAGTTTTTCAAAGTGAGTCATTTAACCATCTCCAAATTGCAGGTGGAATTTGTTTTTGTTTAATAAACTTGGTTTTGTGTAGGTCTTGACAGCAGGAATGTGTCGAAATGCAGTAGCTTTCGTCTCCACACTCGAAAGGCGATTTGTTCAGTTGGGCATGACCACTAACTTTGGCGTCTTTAATGTGTGTTGCAGTTTCAGTGCATAAGCAGTAATGCCCAAGATTTATGCTGAAATTTTATCTGATGGTTACTGTAGTTCCAGTGAATCAGCTGGGCTAGAAACCATTCCAAAAGAAGAAAAAAAACAACATGCATGCCAGCAGGATTGTACAGTGAGCTTGTTTGTTAAGGCACAGTTTCTCAAAACAAATATGGAGATTGGACACCGCTACACTCACTTCTGCCTCAACTCTGCAATTTGTGCTTTGTTTTGATCAATGTCATCGCAGAAAAGCAAAGTTAATGTGTTTTTTTTTTAATTCGCAAGCCACTTTGCGGTCTCTTGGAAATGCTGCCGTGACTCACAGTTCCAGAAACGCTGGGTAACGTGAACCTGTGTCAGTACAACGCATCTTCACATCAAAAGAGGCAGGAGCAGAGTTGGAACTCACATTCAGCAAATCAATATTATGAGTTTCCGTTACACACTTTGCAATTTGTAGCTGGTTGAACGTGCCAATCGATTAGTTTTGCAGCCTCGTGGTTTCCCAAGCCTTGCACTTTGCCATGTTCTGACTTTCGAGGACTGTGGAGTTAGTGAACCCAGCAGGTACTAGCAAGTTTAAGCGTGTCGAACCTCTAGCCGCTCTGGTCAACGTGGTGGCATCTTTTATTTCTCTCAGGAAAGCAAGCAACATGGGCCCCCCTGTTAGCCAGTGCAAGGTGGTGCACCGCATCTGAGGCCAATGATTTTGCTTCACTGCAAACATTCCAAAAGGTGAGGAATTTGCTTCTTCTCCCTATGGCATGACATGGGAGCGAGAGGAACTAGCCGCTTTTTTGTAGGAAAATTGTCTTAATTTTATTGAGGAATCGATTCAGGTGGCATCATGGGGCAACCAACCGTTATACATTTTAAAGATAATACCGTAATATCCCGAGGGGTAGCCCACCTAAAATCAAGAGCAAATCGAGTGAAAATGAGGACTGGGCTAACTTTTGGTGTAAAACCAAGAAAAGTTGTAAGGACACTTGTTTTTAGATTAGGTTTTCCCAACAAACTTGTTATCGGGGCAAGGGAAATTGAAGCAAAGATGACTGTACTTCCCGGTCAGCAATGTTCGCTTATATCCCGCCATAGCTAACTAGCTGAATTTACGCCGAGGTCGTCATTGATCCAAACGCTATGATTACTAGGAGTGGGCTGTCTTTTGGTGTTTAAAAGAAAATATTCCATGCCCTATGCTTTGCCAACCCCAGTGCATGGCTACGATGAAATTTGGTGGCCGAAACCGGCACGGGAATATGGGGCTGCATGTTCTTGTTGCAGATTGGGAAAGTGAATGCTGCTAATTTTTCTTCATTGCTTTCTGCAACTGTTAGTGCATGGCAAAAAAACCTGAGGCATGCTTTATGATATATGAACGTCAAGGATCCGTCTTGAGCGACTGCTTCTCAGAGTAAAGCACCAGACACATGCACAACAAAGCGTTCAACGAGTCACACGACAAGTCGGATACTTGGTCGCATCACGGCCTCCAAGATTCCCGGTGCACAATGCATGTGTTCAACCCTTCCTTTTGCGTGCACGTTTATACGTTCAAACACCGGCAACCTCTGATGTCATGGTGGAATCTGACCATGCTGAAAAGACCACTTTCTAAGTCCCTCAGGTGCCCCAGGCCCACACTCGAGGAATCATAGCAACGGCGATCCTTCAGTTCTTCTGTGATTAGTAATTTGGACCAATTCGATGCTTACACACTTTTGGGTGTAATCCGTAGTCATCCTGAATAAACGTCATGTAGGGTCCAAAGACCTGTCGTACCACTTTTAAAATTTCTCGTCAATGTCAACGTTTTTTATACTGTGCATGCAATCCACCCTTCAACCTGACTGGGCTGCAGGAATTTCTTACAATATTATCGTTCTCGTGATTATTGCTTTAACAGGAATTGCTTAAAAAGCCGATAATTCTCAACAACCAAAACCAGGACTTAGCTCAGAGTCAGGGGGGCTGTTTATAGCACTTATAGCGTTTCTAAGTTAATATCAGTTTGTTTGAAGCTGGTACTAGAATGATACTATTGTAAAAGATTTCTACAGCTCAGCCTGGTTGAAGAATGGATAGCATGCACAGTATCAAAAATGCTGACATTGTCGAGAAAGTTTAAAAGTGATATGACAGGTCTTTGGACTCTACACAGTGCTTACTCAGGGTGACCCTGGATTACACTCAAAAGTGTGTAAGCATCGAATTGGTCGAAATTACGAATAACTAGGGAACTGAAGGAACATCCATTCTCATGATCTCACGAGTGCAGGCTGGGGTGCTTGGGGGGTTTGGCAAGTGGTCTATTCCATCAGATTCCGACATTTTTCCAATGCGTTGTACAACATGTCAAACATTTTACCGCGCATGTGTCTGGCGCTTAAGACTAGGCGGTACTTCTTTTTTATCTTTGGAAGTGCCTTTGGGTTTAGAACAGTCAAGTTCCGTCTTCAAAAAGTTTTTCCCATCATGAGGCACATGGAACAAAGGGACCATCCACGCATACAAAATATGACACGTTGCTCGTTTTCTGTTTTGTGTGTTTGTGTGTGAACATTAAATTATTTGGCAGCCGGCATGGTGTTTCAGCTGCATCCGTCCACTTTTTAATGTTTCTGAGCACACATTTATGCCTGGTTCAGACATTTCCGTTTGAGTATGACCGGCCAGGTTACTACTTGCATCCCATTGCGACACGTTGCACAGACCTCAGTTGCCAAAGCAACCGTATCGTTGCAGAAGGTCAGAAGTGATCGTAAAGCAATCAACCCAAACGCATATCTCTGAACCAGCCATCGGTGTACACAATCTTTGGTAATTTGCATTCGTCCTGGGACGTACAACCATGGCAACGAAACCATTGAGCCTACCAACCTCTTCAGGTGGCCTCGGTGGCAGGCTCCCAAGGTTCCCTGACAAAACAGAAAAGTGTCGCGTCTTCCTCTAGCACACGGAAAATCTGGCACACACGCTGAGCGTGTCAGTCATGCATCTTTGTGTGGGCAACAGCCCACACAAAGATTTTTGCCAACGGCAAAAATCTTTGTGAGCCCGTTGGCATTTTTGCCAACGGGCTCACGTCACTGTGGCAGGTTCACGGATTTGCGTTTTAGTGTGATCGACCGCATCAGAATTGCTTGTGACCACTTACGAGAGAATGTGCCAATGCCATCTATTGGGCAGCTGTGGAGCACTTTCAATCTGCAAATATTTTATGCATCATTCTTTCGCACATTGTTCTTTCAATCTGTGCGTTCTCATTTCACTTTTGATTCAATTCATGCATTATTCTTTCGCTTCTTTCACCACATGCTCGAAATAATCCTGACACTGTCATAAGCAACCATTCCTTGCAGGTCGTGCATAGAACAACTTCAGAGTTCCAGCACTACTCAATAGATGGTGCCAGTGCACTCTCTCGTTGTAGCTGGTTAAAGTGCAACCTATCGTGCTCAGACACGAACGTGAGAAACAGCCTCTCAATGTGAGCAACGCTCACTTTCTTTGTGCCGCAGGATGTGAGGGCGGCACGGGGGAGCAGCGGTGTTGGCCATGCAGCCGGGGCCTGGTGAATGTTCCCGGTGAGCGGGAGGCATGCTCCTGGAAAGCCTGGGCGCCATCCACCCGTGGTGCAATGCCAGCCAGCTCACCATCCGGCGATGCATGCTCCTCGCCCTTGCCCTGGGCCTCTTCTCCTTCGCACTGTCTGTCTACTTCATCAACTATAACTCCATCCGCGGGTGAGTCACAACAAGGTGCACTGTCCTCCGCGTTGCGTGGCTCGTGGCAAGCGGTTCCGGGATTCTTGTAATGTCTTCGTAAGCTCTTGAAACCCTTCAACGTAGGAATGTTCCAACTTTCGGGGCCTACTAAATTTCCTAGTTTCAGTACGGTGCCCAAGAACAGGTGTCGTAAGCTCAATCACGCCCGTAGTGCTCATGAAAACTTTCATTTCTCTCTTGCTTCTCTTATCTGTTTCTGAAAAAACAGGTTCAGACTGTTTATTTTATTCTGAATTGATGCTAAAGGGATATTGAACTAAGCACCACTTTAAAACAAGAGTTGTTTTTGTTAGAGCTGTCACTTCCAAATTTATAATTTACGATTTTTGGGTCCTTCAAAAAGGCCCAGATACACGTGGCTGGTTAGTGAAAGCTGTTCTTTGAGATTAGTATGAAAGCTCGAAATTGTCAAATAGGCAAAGCAAAGTGCAGTCAGTTTTTAAATTTTTTGCTATCAATTTGAAGGAGATATTTGGAAATGTTTTTTCTGTTTTTCACGCACTGTAAGTTTAGAGTTGGGTTACTTCGTCAAGGTGGAATCAAACCATCTGCCTGCATCTTTAGTAGGAGTTTGCTCCTTATATAGTAGACATTTTTTCAAGGTCGCCTTATTCTAATCATTAGTTAATTGGAAACATGCTTATATTTTTGGCAGTGGTACATACAGGGTAATATTTTTAAATGGAAACAAAATTTTTAAAAAAAGATTGCAAACTGCTAGTTGATTATCGTCTTTGCTAGTTGTTTCTCGAGTTTGGTGGATATTAGCTGAGGGAATAATCATTGTGGTAGGTTTGTTAATTAACTAAAATCTGTTAATTTGGTTTTATGGATCATGTTGCAATTGCAGAATTGACGGCAGTAGCTATTAGAGGCCTGACCAATTAAAAGAAATAGCAAAAGTGTATTAGTGTTTGAGATATTAGTTAATAAGTTTTCACATTTTTTAGCCCAATTTAGTAATTGTGTGCAAAAACTGTGCCGCGTTTTTTTAAATCGGGCTAAAAATGTGAATTTTGATTGATCCCCAGAACTAATAACATTTTGCAAATTCTTTTAATTGGTCTGGCCTCTAATAGTAATTACCATCATTTTTGCAAATGTAACATGACCCGTAACACCAATAATTAAGAAGTTATTTAGCAGATTATAGTTTAATTAGCAATTTGCTATTACAATTATTCCCTCGGCTATAGTCCGCCGAACTCGAGAAACACCTAGCGAAGATGGCATACAGCTAGCAGTTTGCACTCTTTTTTAAAAGTTCTGTTTCCATCAAAAAATATTACCCTGTATATTTGTCATGGGAAAAGTATGTTAGTTTGAATGCTACACTTCTGGACCTGGTTAATTCGAATGGTTTCTTGTCTGTCCCACAGACCTGTGAGCCGAAAAATCATGAAAAACCTGTGCCAAAAGTTTCTACATCCGCTAGTGAAGTTGTCAGCCGCACTGCTATGCGACCGACTACGCTTTATACAACGTCCGCTGCGCTGCTCGCTTTCTTGTTTAGAGTATAGAGGAGAGAAAGCAAGCAATCAGTGCAGTGCACAGAAGCACAAGTGGTGACCACGAGAGAGAGAGTGAGTGAGTGAGTGTGAGTGAGCAGTCAAGCACAGCAGCACAGTGCACAGCATGCCAGGCATGAAAGTCTGCAAGTGCTACTGCCTTTGTTTTGCTCTTTATGGCAGAGATGTAAAGCTCATCATTCTTGCACATAAAAGCATGCTGAAGCTATCTTTGGTGCATGTGTAATTTTTTAGCTTCAGCTGTTTTCTTTCGAAGCCTAAAGCAAACAGCGAATGCAGTGATGCGCTCTTTGCGAATGAAAACTTGATCAATTTAAAGTGGCATTTTCTTCAGGTACCTCTGGAGTAATAATGCCTGAAGTATTAAAGTTACGGATACGTTTGATGGTAGTAATGGAGCACTATTTCTAAAAGCTCTTTGCGCCCGTTTGCTGACACTCTCATTCTGCTCGAATGGCCCCAGCAGACGCATAGTCTTTGATGCAGTAGGATAAAGCGGAAGTGGTCGTTTGCCTTATCAGTTATAGAGTTGGTGGATAGCGGTAAAGTGTTGTGTTTCCTTCGCTCTCGGCGGGACAGCGACACCAGCGTACTGCAGATAAGATCTAAAGAGGCCGCCACGGGTTTCGACACTTGCACACACAGTCCTTTGCCAATATTTTATAGCAACCCACTACTACCGCTGAAGTTATCGACAGTGACGGTGCAAAACTACCAGGACCGTAGAGGAGATACACACAAAGCAAGGGTGCTCACTTACAACTCATCTGTATTCGTCATCTACTTCGCGAGAAGCAGAACACTTTCTGCTTCTTTAAAAGGGAGTCAGTGTGAGGTGGATAGATTTCATGGATGTAGTGCATACTCGTATTCACCTCAAGAACCATAGTAAAAGAGAGTCCAGCTCCTTACAGAATGTCGCTACCAGTTTCCCACCTCTTGTGTTGAATTAAAATATATATAGGTGCAACTTAGGTCAGGTTTGTTATTTTGTCAAGACAAAGGCATTGTTTCTTTCTCCGACAAGCAAGCCTTGTAAGAACTACTTTGTGCGAGGCATAAATAATGCCCAAAACTTTCTTTTTTCTTAATTTGACGAGTAAAGTTTCGTGGCACCACTTCTCTCCAAGTAGAAAACAATAAATACTAGGGTGCCTCGATGTTGCTGAGTTGACAGCGGGGGGGAGGATATTCTGTAGTCTGTTAGCCTATCCGCCAACTTTCCTCCCATTGTATGCAGTCTCTTGTGAGCTGCTCACGCAGCTACGGGCATCACCGCTTGTGAAATGACACAGGGTAACTTTGAGAACATGCAATGTCAGGCATTCCGTCAAGTATGCGTTGGTTTTCGGTGCCGGTCAGGAGACAGGAGGCAAAATGGTGGCCGTGATCAAGAAAAGGCGGTAGGGCCCGGTTGCGCCCTCCCAAAGGACGTCCTGGCTTGCTGGCAAGGCACAGCCAGCAAGCAATGTTGGGGCACTCTAATGAATACAGATGAGTTTAAAGTCAGTGCCCTTGTTTGTCTTTCTGTGTGCTTCCCCTGTTGTCCTGGTCTTCTTGTGCTGTTGCTACCTAAGAGGAGTCACCAACTCACCCAAGCATCCACCTTAACTACTGCGACGAAGCCTAGTGCTGTTACTTGCAAGCCACGCGTTGCTCCGTCTAGCTCAAGCTGATTTCGTGGTCAGGGCCTCCTTTTTCGCAGTAGAGGCTGTCTCATTGTTTTCAAGCTGAAAGTGTAAGTTGGTAACTTGTCTAGTCACAAAAAGAAATGTGCAGACAAAATCTTTTACAGCTCTGTCCTTCGAAGAAAGTGTCAATTCAAGAAAGTTGGCATCCTTACAGACTTGTTTGGAAGTAATGAAGGATATGCAATTTGTTAAAATAGAAGGTGTCAGAATGAAGGTGTCAGAACTGCTTCCAACTAAAAACATATTTTAACATTTTACTAAACCCAGAGGGGGCACATGAGCTATTAGTTGCAAAAGAGACAAGAAGGCAAAAGGAAATGCAAGTTGTTGAGCAGACTGTCCCCGGCTATTTATTTATGGTGAACCTACTGTCAACCATGGGGCTAAAATGGGTGGTGTCTAGGCACGTTAAAAGGAAGAGCATCCTCAAGCATTAAAGATATTACAGAAAAAAGCAGACACATTTTCCCTATTGAAATGTTAAATTATGTTGAAATAGGCTGACATAGAGGCAGTACCGATGTTCTTTACTTAAATTGGAGGCTGAAGTTTGGTCAGGAGAAACCTGGGTTGGGCACGAAGTTACAGAGAGTTTTAGAATAGTCCCAAAGCTTGGGGTACCCAAAGCTTGGGGCCCTCAAAGAAATAGGAGATTACCACTGTGCATGCGCTGAACCCAAACTACGTTTTGGGTTGTGGGTTGGCGCTCGCCCCTAATACCAAATTCGAGAAATTACGTAGGGCGCCTACTTGCTTGGGGCCCGGTTGCGTCGGCTAACATTGCGACGCCCTTTCCGCTCGCTTTAGAGCAAATTAGTCATGGTCGCTGCAGTATCAGCCACAATCATTGCCAGTGAAAATTGAAGTTGGCTTTTGCTTCGCTTTATCACGCTCAAACCCCGAAGAATGAGCGGTGAGCTCGCCCCATTTCAAAGATTGTCTTCTGATTCTGGGTGTTCCTAAGCCTAAAGAGACGCAGTAACAGTTGACAGGGCAACGTCTCATTACTTCGAGACTCCGAGTGGATTTAGTTTGTGGCATGTTGCCTGTAGTTTAATATCCAGTCTTTCATGGCTTCAAAGTATGCTTGCTCGCGTTTGTCTCAGTTTCGGCATTGTTGAAGGCCTAAAGCTTTGGCGACACACGGTCAACGCGACACACAACACCAAAAACAATCCGAAAGCGAGGCCCAAATTAGAGCGTTACAGATCGGATTGTTTTGGCTGAAAACACTTGACAATATTTATACTGATTTTAGATTGTCTTTCTCTTAGCCAGCTTGATTTGGTTTTACCTTAACTATTATTTGTAAACAAATAGTACTTACCAAATGCATATGTTCTATGTTTTTTTTTTTCTTTTTGGATTATTAGCTTTTATGCCGCATTGGCACCGCAAGCGGGAAACACAAGCGCGCTGTGAAAACCCTATGTTAGAAACTGGTGATGCCAACCTTGTTGCGTTTGGGTCCCGCAATATCTTAAGGGCACTAAAACGTTGGGGTCCCCTTTTCTAAAATCCTCTATTTTATCTCTCTGTTCTCTATGCCTTTTTTTTTTTGCTATTTTATGTTTAGAATATACCTAGTACTATAACATGCAATCATTGCCTTGTGCAGTAGACTTGGGGACCTGTTACACAGAGTGCTTCGGAAGCAAGTGAGTGTGGGCGTGTATGTATGAAAAAGAAAATTGGCTGTTCACGGCTGTGCTTCCTGTGCATGCTTGTCAGCTGATTGTGGGAAGAGGAATTTTAGTAAAAGGGGACGGAAGAAAGAGATGTGAGCAAGAAGTCCTAGTTCAGTCCACTTCCGTCCAGCAGGCTGTGGGCCAATTGACAAATTTGCACAGAATGTTTGAAGGCTGCAATAGCCACAGTTAAGAAAGAAAAAAAGAACAACAAAGTTTTGTTGTAGAGACTGGATGATGGGATTTGACCGCCGGAAATTTGGTGATTGGGTGCCTCCCATCATCCACGCCGGCATTGTGGATTGTTTTCCAGTCGTTGCGGATGAGCCCGTTGCTCCGTGTGCCCTAACAGCTGCACTGATAAGCCCGAGTCGCTAGAGTGTCTTAAGAGCGCTTTGGGCGCCATTGCTTTTGCTGATCTCGTTCCTCTTGGCCATAAGATGTCCTCAAGGCTGTTGCTGGGTAGACCTTGGCGAGCGAAGGTGGGGCAGAGCTTGACGCGTTGCACATTGTACACAAAAGCCCCAAGCCAGTCCACGGGGTGGTCTTGTGAAAGCCCGACGCTCTCTTGCACGTGCAGGTTCAGCCTGCTGCGGGTGCCTCCCCAGCCAACGTTCCAGTGCCGGTCCCAGCTGGACGGGGAGCCCACGGAGCAAAGCGCGGCCAACGTGCACGCCTCGAGCGCCCAAGCACGGCTGGACCCTCGGGTGCTCGTCTTCGTGGAGACCCAGTTCTCCAAGCTGGGAAAGCAGATCTGCGAGATCCTGGAGGGCAGCCGCTTTCGGTAAGCCCGGCTGGCTCCGTTGGCTTCACCCATTTCTCCGCTTCTTTTGTAAAAAGCCGACTCTGCACCTCTGAAGTAAAGCACTGGTCTACGGTACAGAGCCTCCGAGGTAAAGCACCAGCCTACGATAGGTGCCTCCGTGGCCAAGCACTGTCCTACTGGACAGTGTTTGCGATGTAAAACACTGGCCTATGGTATGGTGCCTCCGAGGTAAAGCACTGGCTTACATTACGGACCCTCCGAGGTAAAGCACTAACCTAGAGAACGGTGCCTCCAAGGTCAAGCACTGGCCTACGGTACGGTGCTCCTGAGGTAAAGCACTGGCCTACAATACAATGTTTCCGAATTAAAGCACTGGCCTATGTCCAGTGCCTGGAGCGCATCTTCGACTTGGGTGTTTACCGTCCTATCCCACACGTGCATGGGAGGGAAGTGGTCCCAAAGTGGCAGCAAAGTGCGTTGTAGCAGCCGGTGTGTCATGCTGTCAAACGTTGCGATCCTGGCGTTTGGTCATAGATATGCTGGCAAAAAAGGCACGGGTCGCCTTTGCCATGGTGTCCCATTTCGTGTCGGCCTCGCTTTCCGCGGACGTCGCAATCCCGGCATTTGGTCATAGATATGCTGGCAAAAAAGGCAAGGGTCGCCTTTGCCATTGTGTCCCACTTCGTGTCTGCCTCGCTTTTTGTTAACCATCTGGCTGCAGAGCGACTTGCAGCAGAACGGACATCTGCCTTGTGCCACCTCTGCTGCTGCCAGGATCATGGTAGGCAACAGCATGAGACTTTTATGGCGTCGTAAGGCGGAAATCGAGGAACCACTTTTGAGAGCACAGTAATCGCACCAATTGGAGGCACGTTCCAGGCACCATTACTTCCCCGACTTGCAGCTTTGAGTCCCGGCTGAGGTGCCCGGAATCTGGCGTAGGCTTGTTGCGGAGGAGACGTCATGTAACCGAGATGTCGGAATATTTAAGGGTGGTGGAAATGAATTCTCAGTCCTGCGCCGGGGCGTTCCAGGCGCCTTCCTTTGGTTTGGCACGTAAAACCCCAAATTTGACTTTTGACTACCTTTGCCAAAAAGCCTTGTGGGCAGAGCGTGAGTGGGCTGCGTCCACGCTACCATTTGGCTCCTTTTCTGAGTGCAACGTTGTGCACTCACGTTTCTCTGCTTCCTCGAAACAAGCGGTGGGATGGAAGCTGCATTATCGACATCGGACTTGTGCCAAGTAGGGGTCACAAGACCACGTCTGGGAGTCGCAGGGGCCCCGCTGGACGGCAATCAAGTATTTTAGGCATCGCGGGCCTAAAAGGCTGCACACCTCTGATCTAGATGGGTCGTTCGACTTTCAGCCAAGGTCTGAATTAACTATCGCGGAGAGAGGTGGCATTTAAAAATGCTTTGCTTGGCCATTTCCTATATTGTGTACTGTGGAGCAGGCTCGTCAGGTTCGGGTGGAGCAGGCTCAGCGTGATCTGCCCAATTTTTGAAGCGTTATAGCTGAACCTGTGAAATTTCAGATAGTCAAAGCTGAAGCCACAGAATATTTCTATAGCATTGATTGGAGGAGTCAAGCTAATCAAGCTTTAGGATTGGCTCTTTTAGTCATATAAACTGAAGAAGAAGAACAAAACAAAAAGTTGTATGCACGACATATGCACACAGTATCTTTAAGCAGCTTGATAACTGCTCCTTGTCAAAAGGTAATGGGCACATTCATTTTTGTGATTCTTTACTAGGACTTCCTATTTCAAGTTACCCATCATCTAGTGTTTGATAGAATGCTGGTCTGTTGGCCCCATGGAGGTAAGACGTTTCCGGAGGCAACAAAACGTCACCAGGAGTGAAGCTGGGGGAGACTTCCAGTTAAAAGGGACATGCCCCCAACGATGACCAAAAAATAGCAAAACCAAAAGAGTCTATTAAATGGACAGGGGACTCCCTTGGGGGCGTTTTCACCGACTGCATCCTCTACTTCCGGCTTTGCCCGAGATTTGGTTGTTTGGCTAGATGGAGCCGGTGTTCCTTTGCGGCTTTTTTCTCTGACCTGCCCTTCATCATTGATGAGAAATAAAAGCTATTATTATTATTTATTGTTATCCCAAGCAGCATAGGGTTGGCCGAGCATTGGCCAATGGCTGGCAATGGTCCTTTGGCCAGTGGCCAGAGAGTGGCCAGAGATTGGTGGATGACTGGCCTTCCTCTGGCCAGTGGCCAATGGCCACTGGCCATTTGCCATTGGCCAAGCATTGGCCAATGAATAGCCACTCTTTGGCCACTGGCCACAGGACCATTACCAGCACGAGGACACAGCGCACCCGTAACAACCACTCAACGGTTACAGTCACACCAAAAGAAAGGGACACTTACACAGTGCTGACTTCAACTCTTTGTATATTCCCGCCTTTTCCCTTCTTTCACGTCTAATGCATAACCTAGGCCTCATCTTTTTCTTTCTTTGCTAAAGGTTAACTGTAAAAGTTTTAAGCCAGAAATTGAAAATTAAAAATTAAATGGAAAAATTAAATGAAAATTGAAAATTGAAAATTACTGTAGATCAATGATGCAAAGCTAAGTAATCCAGCTCTTTTTGTGACAGCGCTATAGATGGATTACTAATACACCTGCCGTTTTGTCTGGCAATGTTCTCCGCTTCTATTATTTCCCTTGTGAGCTGGTCTCGACTCCTTGCCAACACCACACACTTGTCAAGTTCCGCTGTGCACCCACAGTCCCGAATGTGTATGCCAACATGTCCAGAGTTCTTGTTGATGGTGGACAGGTTGTGTTCTCTAAGGCGGTGGTTTAAACACCTACCCGTCTGTCCGATATATGTTCTTCCACAGGACAGGGGGAACGAGTAGACCACATTTTCAGTGCATCGAACGAACTTATTTCTGTGATTCGTAGTGCAGGACGTCGGTGTTCCTGAAGGAGTGTTTACCCTCTTGCACAGGCTGTAGAGCTTGTTCGGAGCGGAGAAAATAACGTCCGTGCCTACTTTGTTTGCTATTTTCTTGAGGCCATGAGAAAAATGATGGAGATATGGCACAATCACTGGTCTTTTTGCCCTGTCCCGATGACTTTTCTTAATTCGCTCATCATGCTTAAAATCTCTGAAAAGTCCTTCCGCCACTGATATTAACAAGGATGGTGGATACCCAGCGCGTTTTAATCTCGACACTTGCCCATCAAAGCTCCTTTGGATGGAATGGAAGCATGACTTCGTAAGAGAGTTCTTAAGGCACAACCGCGCTATGCCTCTCTTTACGAGTTTTGAATGCGCTGAGTTGAATGGCAGAAGTGGCTTCTTTCCCCTTGGCTCGTAAGTCCAGCACGTATGGTACGGTGACGTACAAAGACGAAGATCTAAGAATCTCAAACTTCTTACACTTGGAAGTTCGTGGGTAATCTCCAATGGGTTCATGCACCTTTTGAAACTGTTGAGAATGTCTGGTACCAAGGCTGTCAGATTTTGGTCATCGGTGGCGAGGTGCGAGTTGAATGGCGAGGACCAAAATCTGACAGCCTTGGTACCAGACATTCTCAACAGTTTCAAAAGGTGCATGAACCCACTGGAGATTACCCACGAACTTCCAAGTGTAAGAAGTTTGAGATTCTTAGATCTTCGTCTTTGTACGTCACCGTACCATACGTGCTGGACTTACGAGCCAAGGGGAAAGAAGCCACTTCTGCCATTCAACTCAGCGCATTCAAAACTCGTAAAGAGAGGCATAGCGCGGTTGTGCCTTAAGAACTCTCTTACGAAGTCATGCTTCCATTCCATCCAAAGGAGCTTTGATGGGCAAGTGTCGAGATTAAAACGCGCTGGGTATCCACCATCCTTGTTAATATCAGTGGCGGAAGGACTTTTCAGAGATTTTAAGCATGATGAGCGAATTAAGAAAAGTCATCGGGACAGGGCAAAAAGACCAGTGATTGTGCCATATCTCCATCATTTTCTCATGGCCTCAAGAAAATAGCAAACAAAGTAGGCACGGACGTTATTTTCTCCGCTCCGAACAAGCTCTACAGCCTGTGCAAGAGGGTAAACACTCCTTCAGGAACACCGACGTCCTGCACTACGAATCACAGAAATAAGTTCGTTCGATGCACTGAAAATGTGGTCTACTCGTTCCCCCTGTCCTGTGGAAGAACATATATCGGACAGACGGGTAGGTGTTTAAACCACCGCCTTAGAGAACACAACCTGTCCACCATCAACAAGAACTCTGGACATGTTGGCATACACATTCGGGACTGTGGGTGCACAGCGGAACTTGACAAGTGTGTGGTGTTGGCAAGGAGTCGAGACCAGCTCACAAGGGAAATAATAGAAGCGGAGAACATTGCCAGACAAAACGGCAGGTGTATTAGTAATCCATCTATAGCGCTGTCACAAAAAGAGCTGGATTACTTAGCTTTGCATCATTGATCTACAGTAATTTTCAATTTTAATTTTTCATTTAATTTTTCCATTTAATTTTTAATTTTCAATTTCTGGCTTAAAACTTTTACAGTTAACCTTTAGCAAAGAAAGAAAAAGATGAGGCCTAGGTTATGCATTAGACGTGAAAGAAGAGAAAAGGCGGGAATATACAAAGAGTTGAAGTCAGCGCTGTGTAAGTGTCCCTTTCTTTTGGTGTGACTGTAACCGTTGAGTGGTTGTTACGGGTGCGCTGTGTGCTCGTGCGTCATGAACTACCAACTCGCCCGAACTTCTGTTTTAACAACCATTACCAGCCGTTGGCCATTGCTTGGCCAAAATACGTGCTGCTTGAGATGTTGCCTCTTCTTGTTCCTTCCTCCATGGTTTGACCCCCTATGATCAGGCTCTGCCAGGTTTGCCCACACCGGTTCTGTCCAATAGCACAGGGCCGCTTAGAGCCACGGAATGAGCAGGTTTAGAGTCACAACACCTAATTCCTCTATCGTTTCGGGGGTGCCGCCATTTTGTTGCAGAGCGGGCGCAATGGGCAACAGTTATGGCGCATTCACACTGGAAGCGGATCCGCGTTCGCGAAGCGGTCTCGGATGCGGTTTGCGAACGACTCGTTCAGACGCACCGAAAGGCGGTTGGCAGTTTTTTGGCAATCACACGTGATCTTTTGAGACTTGTTTTTTTTTTTTCTTTATTTACTTGCATTTGGCAACCCTGTTTTGCAATCCAAAATCCACTTTAATTCAATATCCAAAGCCAAACTTTTGCTATTTTGGCACTCGGAATATATTTCTCCAGGATGTTCGCACGCATGACGAGTTCAGGCAGCGAAAAAAGAAGCATGGACCCGCCAAACCCGCCTGTGATTCCCTCGACTTCGCCCAGAAACAAAGCCCAGCTAGGCCGCCTTGCTGACTCAGAACAGGATGCCCCCGACCGTTTCTTCAAAGTGGACCCTTCCCGCATGATTAACTGACCTTGTTTTCGGGATAGAGGGCCAGTTTTCCCCCCTCGTTGTTGTTCGCTCCTATCATTTTCGAAGTTGTGAGTGGTGGGGCGGACCGTGGTGTGGGGGAATGTGTTCGGCGCTAGCCGGTCGTGGCTTCGTTGTTGGCGGACTTTCCTCTCGTCACTCGCTTGTAGATCGAGTCTGCTGTTTGTTTGACATTAAGCTCCAATAAACGCCGTATGGATTACCTCTGCATTGTCTGGTACGTACACTTTATTCCTTGAGTAGGTTCCCTTTATTTATTTTATTAGTAGCAAACGTTACAGGTCGAGCTAGCGCAGGTACCCTGCCCCGTCTGCGGTAGTGCGTTGGCTACGCAATCAAGCTCACGACGTCTCTATTGGCCTTCGTGGTGGTCATGCACGGTGTCGAAAGCTTTCAATAGTCACGCGACTATCTTAGTGGGTAGAACAGCTGACATTTCGGTCAATCAGGGGCGGGTTCCGATGTTCTACAGGGAGAGATTAAGAAGGCAGCGAGCTTGGGCTGTAGCACCCGGAATAATAAACAAACTCTTACCCAAACCAAATCACCGGTGTGAAGCCCGTTCAAATTACAAGTCAATTCTTTTCACGGCAGATTCAAGTGACGGACGTGACCATCAAGTTCCTCCGTTGATTTGTCGAAAGCTAAGACTACAGCGCTAGGACTACAGTGCTAGGACTACAGCGCCTTGGACGCCTCACCAGCGACCGGTGCCATCTTGTTTCGAAAGTCACTGACGTCACGTCAGCATCGCGTTGTGATTGGTTGCCACCTTGCGGTTCGTGAAAGCGGTTGGGAGAAATCGGTCCCGAAGCGGTTGGCAAAAACGCGCTCCAACCGCTCGATCCTAGCCGCTTAGCAGTTGAGAACGCGTGGATCTGCTTCGCGAACGCGGATCCGCTTCCAGTGTGAACGCGCCATTACAATTTTAAAATTCAACTTGCCATGCTTTAGATACGATATCGGGAAAGCTTTGTTTGTGGCTCCGTCGTAGACTGTGTTAACATTCAGGCAGGACGGAAAAACATTTCCTGTGATAATTGCGATAATGCTTCAGACAACTGGCAACAGTGATTTTAAGCAACAGGGTGGTTGAAGTGTCATTGCTTTGAAGTATAGCTTTACATGTAGTCCTTGACAGAATGAGAATGGCGCATATTTGGAACGTCCCGCCTCCAGCACATGCACCATGCCTTCCACAGTGCTTTGGTTGCATGCGCACACTCAATGTGCACAGGACGCCGAAGCACCGTCGAAGGTGGGACAATTAAAGCTCCTTCCCGCCGTTCTCATGTAGTCGTCGATTTCAGTGCCGCCACACGGTTCCGAAACTAATTCTTGGGAGTTTCAAAACTCTTTGAATACGAAGTGTCTGTAGTCGAAGCCACGCTCATTTAGGCGTCAATCCCGACAGTGTTTACCTGCGAACCGGGGATCCCGGAGTAAAAAAGCTTCCTTCCCTCCCCCCCCCGGCAGGTTCAAGGTGGAGACGACGGGCAAGACGCTGCCGGTGCTGACGAACCAGGAGAAGGGCAAGTTTGCGGTGATTGTGTTCGAGAACTTTGAGAAGTACCTGGCCATGCACAAGTGGAACCGGGAGCTCCTGGACAAGTACTGCCGCGAGTACAACGTGGGCATTGTGGGCTTCATCCGCCCGCGCGAGGACACCTATACGGGGGCGCAGCTCGCCGGTGAGTCTAACCCATGGAGGTAGGAAGCTTCTGAAGCTAGGCAACATGATGCCACCAGAGGTGAAGCCAGGAGTGCTCAGGGGCATGACCCCGCAACTGTGGCCAACTGTGACATGGCGCCAACAGCTGTTTTGGTTACCCGTGGGACTGGCGGGTGACCAAAGCAGCTGTTGGTAATTGCAAAACGGGAGCGCGGCTACTTTTTTTTTTTTCATCCTCAAGCAAATTGAAGAGGGCATGAATGTAATGCACTTGGAGCTCGTGCTGCTCCTTTCGCTGAGGGAGTGTCTCGGGACATTGTATTCAAAGTGGTTGGTCGTAGAAATCTCAGCACTACAGACAAATTGATGCGAGTATTACTAATGTTCTGCCATCCCAGCTCATCACTGCTGTACGATAAAATCCCGAGCAAGCGCCCGCTCAGAATTTGTAAATGATCATGTAAAGGCCTGTTCACACTCTTGCGACCGAGTACGACTGAGAGAGACGAGATCTCTTACAACTTCTTAAATGTTTTTAGAATGAGGGAACATATTGACATTGTGGCGCCATCTATGCGGTGACCCTGGAACTGCATTTCACAAGAGCGAAGGTTTTGCGGGATTTTCGAGGTCAAATGTGCGTAATACCCATAGAAAGGCTCGTTTATAACATTGTCAAAAGTGTTTCGAGCCAAGAAAGAAAGGATAATTCTCGAGAAATAAAAAAAAATATGCCGGACCGCCGAGTTTACACTGCTTCCCAATAGATGGCGCCAGTGTGTTTTCTGGTTTGACAAGTTTTAAGGAACCCAGGTTTAAGAGGTCGCAAGAGTGTGAACGGGCCTTAAAGGTGGGAGATGGGCACTTCTTAGAACGACATGTAAAGATATGTTCTTTGTGCATTTCCCAAATGTTACAAAATTGAGGGGTGGGCGCTTATTGCGGAATGGATGGATGCTCGGTATTTTACGATAATGGCCAGCTAGCAAACGGGCTACTGACGAACAGGCATCTACCTCCTTTACCGTCGAACATATTGGCAGTACCAAGAGCCAAAACCTTGCTGCGACCACCTAAAATGCGTGACTGGCGTCGCCAGACATGAACTGAGCAAATAAACTGAAGATGTGCCACAGTACTACCGTAAAATACCACGTAAGCACCCACCTCAGTCAAGCACCCACTATTAACATTTCCCAAACATGGGAATTCTGCAAATTAAATTTTAAGCACCCAATTTGACCGGACAGGCACTCATGTCTAGATTAACCCAGTTTTCAGTGAAAGTGGGCTGGGTGCTTTCTCGAGGCTTTACGGTAATTATAGCTGCTGCTGCATGCAAGTGCCCTTTTCGCTCTGTTTTCTTTTTTCTTTGACTTCAATGTGTGACACCTTGACTCGCTGCATTGTGGTCTTAGCATTGTGTAAACTGTCTTGGTTTGATCATCTGTCTTCTATTCTTACGGGTTTTATTGTTTTTCACCTTGAAGAAACACTGAACTCTCCAGAAATATTTTTTTTTGAGGGCCCAGGTAGGGCATGTGCATCACAAAACCAGCTTTCCCCAAAAAAAGTTAATTTTTGGGGACCATATGTTTGCTGCGAGACAGATTTTATGTTAAAAGTGATTCCAAAATGCGCCTCTATTTTGACATGTTGGCCCCAAAATCGAAGCGTGCTTCAGAATCAATCAAACAAGTCCAATGACAAAAAAAAAATAAAGAAAACAGGCTAAAAATGTTTTCTTTGTTTGGGACGGGAAAGTTTATTTTGCGACGTATGGGAGGGAGGGGGGTTCAACGTCTTTTTTTTTAATTTACGCCCCAATTATCCCGATTTCATACCCTGTTCCCCTTGTGGCGACGGCAGGGCTGCCACTTTACATGCACACCAACATGGCCCTGAAGGACTACCAGGTGAACCCAATGTCCTCGGTGCTGCGCATCACCCGGGCGGGGGAGGTGTTTTCGGGCAATCTGCCGGGCGAGGACTGGGCCCTGTTCCAGCCCAACCACTCCACCTTCGTGCCCCTGGCCCAGGCCAGGTCCCAGCACGACGACACCGCCTACGGCAACGGCCCACACATCACCGTCGTGCAGGTCAGATTTTTGTCATTGGCGTAAGACTTTGAAAGAGCCGTTAAACATTTCTCCGAAATTCTCGGCCATACCGCAAAATCTCATAAGGGGCCCACCCAAAATGAAGATCTAAAAAACTGAAAAACATAAGGTGGTCTATCTTTGGAGATGAGACAGCAAAACTTTATTGAAAATTAATTATGAACATAGGGACACCCGCTGCCAACCACGGGACATGGGAACTGATACCGCAGATCCCAGACACGCAAATTTGCGTTTCACGAGTCGGGTAACGTCGGCCACGGGCGCCGTAAGTGGTGTCGGAACGTTGATGCTGCTCCCGCTGTTCCCTGCCCGTGTTGGTGCATGGGTATCGGAAGTGGCGCCCTGCCAGCTCTGCACGCTGTGCCCTCTGTCGCCCGTTTACTCCGTTTACCCAGATTGCCGTTTGCGTCGGTAGAGAAGGGGAGGAACGCAAGGAGAGTGGAGAGTGTTTCTTTGTGTAGGCTTGCATGCTTTCGGCACCACAGCCGTCGTAATAAGTGTGGTCGGCAGACGATACTCTTAGAATAATCCAGATAAAAATGTGTGCATTTTGGTCGGGACTACATTGAACGTTGATAAAAGGGATAATTCAAAAAAAGTGATTTCGTTTTAATGAGGGATCACTATGAGCGACACCATAAATTAGGTTTTGTAAGTTGACAGTTGACTTATCAAAAGGGAGAACGGTGGCAGTCTCCTTGTGCACTGCAGCTCGTAGCACGTGGGGTGAAAGCTCGCTCTGTAAAACCCAAGTAGGGTATGTTAGGCTTGATTACCACTTCCTTTTTCTTTCTAAATGAAAATTGTACTGGCATTTATTTGTGTACTCACCACTACCAGGCTAGCAGTTGTACCGCCACTGGCAAAATTTGTCATCTACAGCTAAGGCACCACACGCTGCTTGCTGCAAATTAATTTCCCGCTGTCCAAACTTCAACATTATGAACTTAGGAACACTGAAATGAAAAAGAAATATTTGTATAAAGGACCTAGATGTGCACATTTTTTTCTGTAATGCATTTTTGGGTGAGTACACAAGCTGGCTTTGCTCATTGGAGATCCGAGCTCAGTGATGTGATTGCTGCGCCAATTACACCAAACTGCGCCACGGCGCTAACCCTGCTACATCCTGCAGCATTTTGCCAAAATATGGGTAATCTGTGCGAAGCCTGCGCCAAAGGACCAATTTCGGTCGCCTTTCAAAACCGAAACTAAACTAAGAAGGTAATTGAGTATGCGTAAGCTAGGTGGCTCAAGCGGCCACCCGACACAAAGTACCCTGCATCCATCCGGTCCACCCCCCCCCCCCCCCTTCCCCCCCTTTGCATGGTTTTTGCCGCCGTCTCACGTTTCGCGCCTCGTCGTCTTGGAAATCTCTTCTCTCATCTTTTTTTTAACTTCTTCAACGATAAACGCGGGCGTGTACGGACGCTCCGACGCTAGATGGACGCTAGTGTGCCGGGTGCCAGACATGCCGTCATGCTGTGAAACAAAACCATGTTTTTGCGCGACGAGAGTTTTTTTGTGAGCTAAAACGCTGGTCGCGCAACGTCGGGTGTTGCCGTCCCCACGTCGCTGCAGATGTGGTGCTTTCTAAACTTGTTCATCGACATTCCTGTCCTTGTTTAAATCATACTCTACTACGAAAATCCCTTTTTAAAGAGATACTACAACAAAATTTCGGCGCTTATCTCTTGGTCTATTCGTGTTCAAGGGAGCGCTATCACATCGAACACATCAATCTCTTGCTGAAAAAGGCACGAAAAGGAATTTTAAAATGAATGAAATGATTAGCAAAAAGGACCTGGTGGTTGTTAACGCCTCGTTTGTAATGCCCGTCTGGGAACTTTGACAGGTAGTGACGATAACTGTTTCGCCTCCGGCCACCACGAGAGAAAAGTGGAAGGAGAGCTCCCCTCCCCCCGAGAATATCCTTTGTGTCTCTCAGAAGTCGCTATTGTCCGTCTACAAGATTACAGAAGATTAACCCGTCATTTAAAATTCATACAAAAACAGCTGCTTTGGTGGCTGGAACCGTTAGGACATCTTCTCAACATCAGCCTCGCCAAAGCTTTGCCCTTTCTGAGACGGAACTACGTCACGATTGCAGCGAATGTCACGCGCTCTCCGCTAGCTGCTCTCTGAGCGCTTGCCAGAGTGGGCTGTTTATAACCAAAAATACAGCGATCAGGCTCAAAATACAAACGTGCAATTATCATTTACGGATATTGTGGATGATATTCAACCTATTTCTGAACACGACGGGTGTTTTTCAAATTTCTTTGAAGTGTCTCTTTAATTCAAAGACTGCTTGTCGAAATAATGATTACCTAGGTTTCTCTCGGTGGGCTTTCTTTCCAGAGAGACCCCGGTATGTGAAAATTTTGCCACAAAAAAAAGTTGTTGAAGAGAAGTGAGCTAAAGCAAAAAAGACAATGTCTGCACGCTGAACCCGCACATCGCGCTTGTTTGTCTCGTTCAGTCGTTGCACAAAGTGCTCCAAGAAATTTTGTACCCTGGCTCGCGATGTCCTGCATCGATGCGCTCAGGTTTTTTTCTCTTGTACGTCTAGCTAGTACCTCACCTGCCGATCTGGCAAGCATGCGCCGCTAGAGTGTTGTTTTATCATATGCTGGACAGTTACATTTTGCATACTATTTTGGGAACTAGTTTGCGACGGAGCGGAGTGGCATTGTTCCGCTTTTGATTGAACAGCCGTTGTCTCCGCTTGCGCGACGAAGCACATACCACTGCAAGCCTGCTGATGTTGCCCTCACGTGCATGTGAACATGACTGCACGAGAGAGGCGCCAACCGGGAGTCTTGCAATTCAGTGCTTTACGTTTGCTTACTTTTGACGAAAATCTGGCACGTCGGGAACCAGTAAAACGGTGGCAAGCATTCTCTTTGGAATCGCTCGGCAACGCCTACAACACTGTGCACTTGTGGGATGTCTCAGCAGTAAAAACTCAAGAAGCGAGTTCCGTCACAAGACAGCACAAAGTGCCCTTCGTTTGTCTAGCACTTAAAACAAAAATATTTTTTTTTCTAAGAATTTTTGTTTTAAAAGCCACTTTTGCTGCTCCGAAACACCGTTTCGGCTGCTCCAAAAGCCACGTTTGCTGCTCCAGAACACTGTTCTGGCTGCTCCAAAGGCCGTTTTTGCTGCTCCAAAACACTGTTTTGGCTGCTCCAAAGAGGTGCTCCAAAATGGCTGAGGCCAATCACATCACTGCGAGCTATATTTGAGTAAATATGATAATCTGCCACATTTCAATGTGAATGAAACTGAATGACATCATTTCGCTCCAGATTGGAAGTGCTAAGTGGGTCGTCACGGGTTTCCAGGACATTGGCAAGTTTGATGGCATCCAGAGGATCATCTTTGGGAATGGCTTCAACTTCTGGCTGCACAAACTGCTTTTTCTGGACTCCATCTCGTTCCTGTCGCACGGCAAGCTGAGCCTACCACTGCAGCGCTACCTCCTCATCGACATCGACGACATCTTTGTCGCCGAGCGTGGGAATCGCATGACAACCAGTGATGTCCAGGTACGCTAGTTTTTGTTGCCTATATGTAACTGTTGCTCCTTACATAAATCTGCTGGATATGCTGACTTAGCTTGTACTTCGGTTTCCTCTAACATTGGCTTCCCTCCGCCATAAATGCCTGCTTAATATATCTATATCGAGTTGCGTTTTCACATAGCTCTAGATTTCAACCTAAAATTAAATCTAGAGCCAGGCCCGGTTATAACAAATCGAGGGTGATTTACATGTCCCCTTGCTGTTGTACCCTTCAATCTAAAAAACAAGCGTGAGCAATGATGCACATATTGCTTGTCAGGGCGTCCCTGCCCAACATATTTTTGCGTAATAGTCGTAGATAAATGATGAAAATGGCAGATATCAACATCCACAGACTTCCAATATTTTTATGAGTACATCCTGCATATATATGTACACAGTGATGTGATTGCTGCGCCAATTGCGCCAAACTGCGCCAAGGGGCTAACCCTGCTACATCCTGCTACATAATGCCAACATACGGGTAATCTGTGCCTAGACTGCGCCAAAGGATCAATTTCAGTTGCCTTTCAAAACCGAAACTAAAGTAAGATCGGGTGCTGGCGAAGAACTGACCTCGTACAGCCGCGCGGAGTGCCTTCTCTAAGCAAGAAGCTTCTTGGACGTTGCAGAAACTATAATTACAACACAATAATAAAAGTTACGCGGCACTCAAAAATCAAACGTGGGGCCTCTGTGTGCAAGTTGGGTGCGTTGCCAGTTGGCTACGCACGTGGCGCTAAATATAAATTATTGTGGCTAATTATGCCTTCTACAGTATAGACCACTTACAACGTAACCGCTTATAGTGCAGGACCGGGTATAACGCGGTTTTTTTAAACCACCGGTTCGCCTCCCATAGAACTCCATGTATTTACATACCGCTTAAAATGCAGGCGCGCGAAGGGAAATACCGGCTATAGTGCGGTTTTTGGCACAGCCCGCTGACCGCGCCTACGACCGGAGCAGCGGGCACGCTTCCCTGTGCGACACTAGATAACGGCGCTGACGGCGCGGGGCGAGGATGTTGCTCGAAGAAGTGGGGAGAAGCGAAGAGAGAGGCTTCAGTCGCCGTAGCGACAGAGGGACGCACGCACGTGTCGTTCACGTGCGTGCGTCCCTCCGCTGCGTTGGAAACAAAGGAACAAACAACCGCACCGACAGACCAATCGCAGATCGAGGAGAAGTGTTCGCGCGCGTGCATGCCAGTCGCGGGCCGGCTGCTTCTATCCGCAAACATGGTTTCGGTTGTGATCGTCGTCGTAGACGGAGTTCATCTCATCGTTCCGCGTAAAAGCGCTATCCTTGACTGTGAATTTTCGTTGTGTGTCGCTATGATAACCCAGCACGTACTAGAAGGGAAGATTCACCTACTCGTGCGGCGATGTCGTGGCGGCGCTCTCAAGACGGCAGAAACGCCCGTGTCGTCGTGTTTGTTTACTTCGACTACAGTATATTGCCCGGATTTCTTATTAGGCGCATTTCATGCGTGTGCTAAAGTTCAAGGTATTACTGGCGCGTACCGTATGAAGGATGCGAATTTTCACGCGTTTTCATCTCCGGAGAAAAGTGATTAGGGTTAGCAATCCTGAACGCTCGGAACGTCCGTCCGCAACCCGCGACGCCGTTAAAAGGCTGCGCCAGGCAAAAGCCGCTAATTTCTTTCAAAATGTGTGACACACTTGAGACAGAACTGTACTAGTCTGGTAAAATAAAGACTTTCCTCAAACTAAGCTTATTTTTTCATCTAACATAAAATAAATTTTTTTACAAAGGTAAGTTGTCTCATGGCATGTATTTTGGCCTGAAAAATTGATGTTTTGGTTATAACGCGGTACCGCTTATAGTGCGGATTTTCGCGACTCCCGCGACATACGTTATATGCGGTCTACACTGTATATGATTCGGAGGCAGCCTGCTATGGTCTATGCATACTTCATGTAGCCTTGGCTTGCGTGTAATGCTTTTTCGTCCCACTTGAGCATTACACTTTTCCATGAAACCCAGCCCATAAACCTATTCTATGATAAAGGTATTATTACTACAGTTACTTCAAGAAAATAAAAAAGGTAACGCATTACAGCTACAAGTTAGCAAAGAAAAAAAAGAGTTACAGTATCACAAAACTAGTTACGCAATACTATCCAAGACTGAGTTTTTGTCACGCTAGATCATTTAAAGGCCGACAACCAGTTCGCGCTTTCCACTTTTGCCTCGCTTCCTCCTCTCTCTCCTTCTACCCTGTTCACCGCTGCCTGTTTCCTCCTCCCCCACGGTGAGGGGGATCTTCTGCCTTCCAGAATCTCGAGTCTGGTCGTCGGCCTTTAAAGGGACCATGAAATGACTTTTTTACTTTTTCCAGATAACTTTTACAATAAACCGTCAATGTTCACTGAATGCCGAACAGGCATCCGTTTTCGTCTCGGTTTATTAACTTCTACACAAAAAATTAATGAAATATCGACTTTTTCTTGACCGCAAAACAAGCCGTGACGTACGATGTTTCCGGAACCGGAAGTTCTCTCTGCAGTAGGAGATGGGAGCGTTAGCGAGTTGGGGTGCGCCGGTGGGTTTTACTGCGCCGTTGTCACCGACGTATTTTCTGAATCGGCGCCTCTCATCGCCGCATCGCAGCTGAGCGAAATTCAATGAGATACGTTGCGCTACAGCGACAGCATGGGACTAGTCCCCTACGCCGGTATGCCTGTTGGGAAGTGCAGATGGGAACAATTTGCCGCGGCGTTTTTCGCGGTCTCGGAGATGCAGGAGCGAGCCGACGTTAAAAAAGATACGTTTGAACTGTCAGCAAGAGCCACGTAAATACCTGTTCACACTCGGAGCGGACGCGCGCGTTTGATGAAGTGCTGTATTCGCGCTGTTGGTAAGCGCTTCGGGACCGATCTTTTACAATTGCAACTCGATACTGACGCGACACTCGGCAAAGAAAGGTTGGACCGGTATTGCACGTATACCTCCCACGAACTGTTACAGCTCGACAGTGACGTGCAGTCTGTCAGAATAAAAATGGCATACCAATAACAAAGTGTACATACCGTGCTACGAAGGTAATCCATATAGCGTTTATTTCAGCTCTATACCACACAAAACAAGGAGAGGATCGACGAGGGTCCCTTTTTGACGAGTGTTCGTCAACACTGCCTCGGAAAACAAGGGGAAGAGATTGACCTCACCTCTTAACCTAAAATTGAGGTCAGCGATCAAACTATAATACGGAAGGGTCCACAAGGGTAGCGCGGGCATATTCCATTCAGTACGCCAGCCGGTCGTAGGCAGACAATCTTGCGACGAAGCAACGCAGCAACGCTGCGCCAAGTCGGAGTGCCTGCTAGGCCTATATTCCGAGAGCTTCGTCGGAGCGGGATTCGTGGCTGTTGTCGCTCTTCTCGGGTGTTTGTGGATCCAGCGTTCTTGTTCGTCGTGGTTTGTTTTAAGTACATTTCTTTCTTGCTGCTTGAAGTCGGCACGCGCGAGATGAACACGTAGAAAAATAAACGTTCAGTCAGTCAGAGTTTTGAGATGAAGGAAACCAAAGGAAATAACAGTTCTGAACTTGGCCCTGCCCTACTGCGCACGCGCAGTAGTTGCTTCGTTTACCACACGATAGATGGCGCTTGGCTCTCAGCATTATCAAATTTGGCAATTTTCGCCACACATCTCTAATTATGCTACAAAATGTGGATCTGAATATTATTTAACAAAACTTTTAGGAAACATTCGGCGGCTATTTATTGTTTACGATCGCGGTGCTGGTGAGGTAGGCTCTTACCCAATAGGCGATGTGGATTCGGCTGACGTGCACCGTTTCTGCGTATGCATCGTAGTGAAAAGGCAGAGCTTTCGAAGGAAAGAAGTCGCAAAAGAGTCCAGTTTTCTTTTAAAAGTTCTATAGCAAATAATTTTTTTTGGCTCCCTAGTCTTGTGTTTTTGTGTTCCTTTTCACACCTTTTACGACGTGCGGTGGATGAAATTCGATTTTAAAATCATTTCATGGTCCCTTTAAAGACGCCACAGTCATGGGAGTTAAGTTTCTGCTCTGTAACTTCTTTGGGTGGAGCATCGGTTCTTACGTTTTCTCCTGCCAGGTGCTATGTCACGACTTTTGGTTTACTCTCTTTGGAAATTTGAAGGCTCACCTGCAAATTTAAGAGCCATCACTAACAGCTTTGCATGTTTATTTGCAGGCACTGCTGGAAGCACAGCAGCGGTTCCGCAAGCTCATACACGGGTTTCGCTTCAACTTGGGCTTTTCCGGGAAATTTTATCACCGTGGCTCTCGTGAGGAGAACAGGGGAGATGACATGCTGCTTGGTGAGTTAGCCTTTCAGCTTCTTTCATAGTTAGAATAATGTTTCTTGCATTACACCCAGAACCATTTATAATAAACTTCGTTGGAAGCACGCATATTAGTTTGTTATATTGGGTTATTTGTTATGTTCAAACTCACATGTACAAGTTACAGGGCCAGGAGTTTGTAATAAAATATTACAGTGGTAGCTGTTTGTGTCGGGTTCCCTGGCTTTTTCGACCACGTGAGCGTAAACGAAAAGTTTTCCAGCTAAATTTAGCAGAAAACTTGATGTCACGTCACCTGTGCACCAATTCAGTTTCCCCACTAAATTTGGCGGGGAAAATTGATGTCACGTGACCTGACATCACATGACGTACGCACCAATTCAGTTTCCCCCTAAATTTAACGGGAAAACACATCACGACTTTAAAAGCATTTATTTTTCAACAACATATCCGCGCTAAATCAACACAACGTCATTTCAATATCAGATCACCCAATGACGCACGATCAGCACAATGTCAATCAATCGTCATCGTTGTACTGTCGAATAAGCAGCACAGCTGACGCTGTCGAAACGCATCACTTTGTGGGATCGTCGCACAATATTTTTAATTTTTATAGTTTATTAAACGCTCGTTAATTGCTCGTTCGGCGGACTGCAAAAATTAAAGGTATGATCCAGGAAAGGCAACAATGGATAACACTCTATGCAGGCTTATAGATGAAAGTTAAAGTAACCCTCGTGCAATTGCTCATTCTGTGAGTCTATTCGCAAGATTGGGGCACCACTATGCTCTCTGAAAGGAGAGATCATTTACCCATTTGTCTCTTAAGACAGTTGTTTGACAGACACGCCAATTTTGCATTAAGCCCAAAGCTTCCGACTCTACCTGTACTCTACCGTCTAGGTTTGATTCATGGTTTTTTGGAAGGCAAGTTACAATACTCAAGTCACTCTTTTCTTCCCAAGCTATCTTTTTTGTAGGAGCAAACAATGCGGTGCATGTGAGGCCACCGTCGGTTCTTAAGAAAGGCCTTCTTTGAGGAACAAACCATAACAAGGCTTTGTCTTCTCCTTGTCTTTATCTTGCATTGCCACTACTAGATTCATTTGCAGCATCGAATATACCTCATTATTCTAATAGATATCTGAAAGTTTCTGTAATTTTACTTGCCAAGCAATATTGGTGACGGTTACATAGCCACGAAGATTTGACTTTCGACGTACCGTAAGCCTTCTTGACAATGAAGTGCCCTACCATTTCAGCAGAGTAAACTGGTTTGTTCAGATTCTGGTCAAGCACAATCTGTCTCGAATAAAGTAGCATCAGGTAGGGCGTACCCCTTTGAATGGGAGGGGTTTCTCACTGCGTGAATTGTGGCTTAGTCTGTTCTTCTGTCCCCTTGCAGCCCATGCCCACGAGTTTTGGTGGTTCTGCCACATGTGGAGCCACAGCCAGCCGCACCTGTACGAGAATGTGACCCTCCTGGAGACGGAGATGAGGCTCAACAGGGAGTTTGCAAAAGTGCGTCTGAGCCCACCTAGGTTCCATTCGTGTTAACAGTTCGTTATAGTCAGCGACAGGCTGAGAATCGGGTACCGTACAAGCTCCAGCTCCATCAAGCACTCGTTGCCTTCTGCCAGGCTCTTTGGCTGCGCGTTCAGTGGAATACCATCACAGGCACAATGCTTGCACTGGAGGTGGGGAAACTACCGAATTCTTGACCTGCCAACTACTAAAAATTGTTAAAATGTAAAAAAAAAAAACATAAATAAAATAAAAGTATTAAATAGAAGGAGTAAGAGAAACTGGTCCCAGGTTCTTAGTTTAGTAATAAATATTCGCACAGTTAAATTAGTGACTCTAAAATGTTACTTTTTAATAAATAATTTTTGTAGTTTGAAGCAATACGGTAACGGTGACAATTAAAGGGGCACTGGCACCTCAAAAGTATAATTTTTTTTTTCTTATTGTCCAAAACGATGCAAATTGTAGTCATAGACACACAAAAAATTTCCACATCGCAAAAAGAAATATTTCCCACGCGTGCGCGCGCCTTTTTATTTTTGGCGTTTTTTTCTCCCGCTCCTCTCTTCCTCGCTTCTTTTGATTTCTGACTTCAAAAAATCGTGAAATTTAGAAGCTTTGTAGGCGACATTTCTATAGCATTTAATACCGGCAATCAAAAACATGTCCGTTGTGATGTCGCCTCCTGGATTTTTATCCTCCCTCGAAAAACATGGCGGCACTTGATGCATGTAGCAGAGGGTGATCGGTGTGTCAGGGAATCGGACAAAGTGGTCTTTTTTAGGTGCCTGACGACCTTTCAGACTTCCAAAAGGAAATCTTCAAACGGTCAAAACAACTGGGTATCATAGTTTTGGTTGACTCCGCCGGGACAGTGTCGTCTGCTCGAAGTGATAGTCAGCACAGCACGCACGCCGAAAACCGGTTTCCCTGTCCGCCGGCACCCTTCTCTCTCACTCCTTACCTCCTCGCTTCAGGTTGCGGCGATATGTTTCCGACCGGAGGTACGATAGAAACTTGACTCGCAGGATCCCTCAATATTTTACGTCACTCCACTGGCGCAGATTGTGCGGGAACTTCAAATTCGGCAGTTGGAAATTATCTTTTTACTTCACAAATACTGAATTCCCAAGTTTCGAATTTTAAGGGTAATGTCCCGGCATCGTTTTCAATCGTTTCGCATAGTAAAAAAAAAAAAAAAAAAGGTTTTGACGTGTCAGTGCTTTTTTAAGAAAAACAGAGTTTTAGAGAAATGCGGTTAGCTGCCATTCAGGGAAGCAAAGACCATGGATTACAGTTTAAACTACTGCAAACAGAGCAAGATAAGGAATCACAGTAAGGCATTGGCAAATGCACTCAGTTCAGAATTAAGTAATTCAAAAATAAAATTTAGTACATTGAAATAGGCATGGTTCAACGTCTTTTGAAGGAGCTACATAACAAAATGAAAGTACAGTGCAATCCACTTATGATATACCACATGTAACGATGTACTGCTTATAACGATCAGTTGCTAGAGTTTCTAGTCCAGATACAACAATGAGGGTGCAACTTTTATTAAAAAAAGTAAAAGAAAAAATGAGAGTCAATAAGCAACCTAATCCGGAAACAAATAGGCAGAGTCCTAGTCAAGATGTCAAGGTAGCTTGTTTCAGTCTGGTAATCTCTATATTTGCATCCTTACTATGTCAAACTTTTTCTTGGAAAAGTTCTACTCTTGCCTACTGATACAAAGTGTGATATTCTGATCTTTGGCGTGCTAGTCTACTTGTCTCTTTCAATTTAGGTTTCGGTAGAACCGTTTGCATTTGGTATACATGAATACCAAGACTGAAAATGGTTTGCCTGCCAGAATAGATGCCAGAAAGGGCTCACCTCATTTCAGAAAAATGATCTCTGGAAATTACCGGCTCCAGGCCTAGTGCTAGTGACCCATTGCCAAAACATTGTCCTAATTTAGAGCGTTTAAAGCTTTGCCTCCCGCATCACTTCGTTGACATCATGATTGGCTTCACAGTCGCAATTGAAACAAATGTGAATACATACTCAGTTGTTGACTTCTTTGTACCAACAGCATCACAAAACAGCAACCATAATGCAATATATGCACCTTATCTCGTGCCTTGCCACACTAGATTTGCAAAGCGCACGTGCCATCACAGTCACCGCTTCCTGGTGCTCCCAGTATGAAGTGGTCGTTAATCACGTTCACATTCATATGGACTTCGATTGTGCTAACAATAGGAGTAAACTCTTTACTCAAGCGGCTATATTGGAGGTTTTCACACATTGTTATCAGCATGAGCTGTCACTAAAGCAACTTACCGTCTGCAACGAACGGCAGTTTTGAAAATTCGAGAGGAACCCGGAGGATGCTCTTCGTCATCACATGCTCAGCCTCAAAACGCACTACTATGGCCGACGGCAAATACTATCTATGCAGAGCACAAGTCTGTCTGCTTCTTGCACATGGACTGTAATGATGCCAGAACAACTTGTTACAGAAAGAATAAACAAAGAGGACGGACAAGGACAGACATGTCCGTCCTTGTCCGTCTTTTTTGTTTATTCTTTCTGTAACAAGTCATCAAAAACGAACGCACTCACATTCAACTATGCCAGAACACTGAGCTCTTATTGGCTGACTGAAAAAAATAGTGGGTGGACCTCAAGGCATCTAGCATTGAGGTCTACCCACTATCCTACCAATCAGAGCTCGGCGTCGTTCTGACGTCACCGCAACTCCTGCGCAAGAACAGACAACTTGCTCTCCTCATAGGTTCATCCGTTACGCTGCTGCCAGCATGCATGTGAACTGTGAGCGTTTCGTAGGAGAGGTTGTCTCTTTAGGGGGTGTTCTGGCCAGGAGTTTACCCTGGGGCTTGTCTGGGGCGTCCTGGCAGAAGCACCGGATCCAGACGGACTCCGGGTACTCCGTGGCGCCCCACCACTCTGGCGTGTACCCGATCCACGAGCCCCTGTACGACGCCTGGAAGAAGGTGTGGAACATCCGGGTGACCAGCACCGAGGAGTACCCGCACCTGCGCCCGGCCAGGCTGCGCAGGGGCTTCGTGCACCGCAACGTCATGGTGGGTGGGAAACCCCCCTCGCCCTCTTGCCACGTTTCGCAGCAGAGGTGGCACCCATCCCCTACTGTTACTGCGTTGCTACATTGGTTTTACTCTCGTCCAGGAACAAAATTAATTTTCTTAAAGTGATAACTTCAAGGAGCTTGTGTTGCAGAGAAGCCGTTGTCGTCATTGGTGGGACGGTAAATTATGATTGGTCGATAAGGTCATGACAATACAGCCACATCTCCTCGCCGGAAATTTCTAACAACCCACAATGTTCACGTGAAATATGACATTACGTGTGAAATGAAAGTGATTAAAAGATGACATGCTATGCGAATTAAAGGTCGCCACATGTCTCAAATGATTTCTTTTTATAAAGTAATTCATTTGCCTTAAGGGGAGACACCCCCTGGGAGGGTCAACTTCTGAACCCTTGGCTTAAAATTAATGAAATTTACAGGGTAGGCTGGTGGTCATGCTAGAGGGAGCATAACAAAATTTTAGGTCTGTCGGTTAATTGGGAAGGAAATTAGGGCAGCTTCTATCAGCAACACCCCTACACTGTTTAGTTAATCTATCGTCAGAAAACTATCACAATATTAAAGATTTTTATTCGCTAGATATGTAGCAGAATGCCTAGGAGGTGTGCCTATGGAAAGGTTTTTGTAAAAAAAAATTGATTTCTATCAATTTTCTCTTCTGCGAAATTGGTCAAGTTTTTGGTCTTCTGTGTCTCCGACAAAATGTCAACATTTTTTATAAAAGACATCCGTAAAGTGACAAACAAACTCCATAGACGTATTCCTTATTAAATTTCAGTCAGGAAAAGTGAAGAACGAGCCTTGCCTGTATTTTCATTTTCAAACGATAGATTGACTAAAATGGAATTTTTACAAAAAAGTGGAACGGAGAAAAATGTGTTTAAAGTGCTCCAAACCCTACCTTTCCTTTAGCTTTGGTGGACAGAAAATAATTTATAAAAAATTAACTATGCAGTGTAAACTAGTGAAAATTTCTGGGAATACTCTCTGGATGTAGATGGATGTAAATATGTAATTTTTCAAAATCAATGTTTTTTGAAGAATATTTTTTTCTCCGGGTAGTGTCCCCCCTTAAAGAAAAAGTTCGAAGAATTCGAGGCAGAAAAGGGATTCGAACCCATGACCCTTGGGTTGCGAGTCAGACACGTTACCGACTACGCCAGGCAGACACTCTTGCGCGGCTTGGGAACAAGCTGGGGTTTATGTGTTTAGTTATCGCATTCAACCCTTAAAGGCGAAGCTTAAGCATCTTCCTGTAATCTTTTTCCCACCAACTAACATTTTTTTAAGATAAGTGTAACACGCAATCACCTCCAAGTAGAATGCTGCAAAAGAAAAAAAGAACCCCTGAATAATAGAGCAAAAACAAAGTGTGTGACCGATCGTAGACAGTTTTGATAGAAAGGGTATGTAAGAACTTGCACGAGAGTTCTATTGCTTGCATTTTTATTTAAAGGGACCATGAAATAAATTTTGGATAGGGGTAAATTTTAAAGGATTTCAATCACACTAAGTGCTTATGGTTTAGTGCGGCGCTTCTCAAAGGGAGGTTCGTGGACCCTTTGAGGTCCCTGCAGGCCTTCTTGGGGTCCCTGAACCCCTTGACCGTCAGTCAAGCCAATCAATAAAACTTTTTTTTATGATGATGGCTGTCCCAGGAAGCTAAATACACCAAGCAATGTGTGTTGAGTGTGTACAGTTGATTATTCTCCGTTTCAAAACTTCAAACTTGGTTTGCATGCCTTTAGTTTTCTTCATTTACTTTTTTGTTATTGTAATTATCCAATACCACCCTTCCTCCCCTATGGGTAGGGTCCCCCATCACTTCCGCTGATCCAGAAGGGGTCCCCCTAAACATCGGGGTTGAGGGCCACTGGTTTAGTGGATCAAATTAAAGCTACTAGCGCACGATGGTAGAGAGCCGAAAGCCTGCTTTTAGGTGTGAAATATTTCAAATAAGAGCAGACTATTTCTTATTTTTTCTCTTGCGGAAAGCTCTGCTTTTTCACTTTGATGAATCCGCAGTTCTCAAGCAGTCAGCTGAACCTAGCTCACGTATGGGACACAAGCATTGTGTCACTTGTACGTATGAACTCATTAACAATCAGTCTGTTGACAAATATTGGGTTATTGGGATCCGCATTCGGGGCCAGCGACATCGCGAGTTTCAATCCCATCTACTTATCATCACTTGCGAATGACAAGTTCAACGATGTTGTAGTGGTCAAGGATGGCCACTACATTTTGGTGACAAGGATGTGATTGATACCGTTGATTTTCCGCCAGTGTTCCGTGTTCTGGGACATCGTACAAGGGGCTCCCGTTCGGTGTGAAACTTAGCAAGAAAGCCGTTTTCAATGTTATAAACTGTCGTTCCTTGGCCATAGTATGTCTGTAAGGGGCCCACTCCTCTTCCATCAAAGATAGACACTGTTTTAAATTTCTATAGTCAGTTACAGGTTAAGAAGGTAGCGGCAAATGCCCCTCAAAGGGAATCAGATATCCCTCCGCCACCTCCGCATCCAGTATCGTCCCACCGTTTCCGTGACGTCGCGGCCAACGCGCGAGGAGGGTCTTGCCTTTCTGTACATATTTGCTTTATCTTTCGACTTTGACTTAGCATTGTGGAAGCCACGAGAAGGAGATTAGAGTTCTCTCCCACCGACGGAAGCAAATACAACTTTCGGGGATTAGCTTCCCCCCCGATGGATACAAAGACTGCTTTCAGGGGCTCGGTTCCCTCTCCAATGAATACAAAGGTCGCTTTCTTAAAAAGTGGGATCGGAGACAAGTGGGAATCCACTGAAACGGAACAAGGAGCATTTCCAGTGAACTCTTCTTTCGACTGCGGAGAGATTTGAAACAGGCGCATCACACTTGTGGGAGGAGCTTCTCCTACCTTTTTGACTTGTAACCGACTTTAGCACCATCTGGATTCCTGATGGCATACTACATCTGTGCGTAAAAAGCTCGGCAAAGGCAACAAACGCCATCAAGATTGGTTTGATATTACTTTTATTTCTGTCAATGAAAGCAAAATTAATCAGAGTGGCCAGTCATAGAATGCCGACCACATAGGAAAGAAGGCTGGGAGGGCCGTCTCTGTAGGTCGACATATATCGACAAGTGCAGCCGATGCAAGGAACATGGACAGCTAACCCTGCCAACTCCAGACAGCTGGGAGATCTTCCGGGCGAAATAAGATGTCACGATCACATGATTTCCCATTTTGCTTCTGAGTTAAGGAGGAAGAATTTGGAAAATAATTTCATGATCCCTTTAGGCAAAAACACCGTTGCCATGATGAGGGCTCTTTCTGCTTGCAAAAGGTTTGTTGCACTGTGCTACTTCAAGCATGAATAGAAAAATATTTGAAATAAGATAAAAAATGCACAAACAAAAATGAGATACTCTGGTCTTTGCCAAACCCTCTATACAAAGAAATATTAATGAATGTTCTAGCTAAGCTAGTAAAGACACAAAGTCTGAGAACTACCATGGTTCTTCCTCTTTTTCGTTCTTCCTCTATATTTGGTTGGCCATTGTAGTATTTTTCTTTAATGATAAAGATAGTGCAGCTGCAGTCCGCATGACAGGAGAGTGCAGAGCAAGTCGCCACTATCTTGATTCAGAGGAGCTTGAAGCCGAAACTATGTTTTTGACAAGATCAAGATTATTTCCCACATCTTGTATGTGTTCAAATTTAGTTTTCCTTTGTACCTTGGAGCTATGTTTCCCCCCACAATATGAGCAATTTTTCATGATACAGCAACACTGGGCCACAAACCAGTGTTGCCAGCAACACTGGGCCACAACAAATGAGCCACAAACGTCAGGTTTACGCACGTACGGCACTATACATCACAAAGATGGAAGACAGGTGGTCCTTCCGTTGTTGCACTTTCTTTTGCCTTTAGTAACATCCCTCCCCGAAGTTCAGACACAGTTTTTGCAGGTCAACATTCGGAGCACCCTTCCCTACTTTGGGGGGATTCTTTGTTTCATTTCCTTTTCTTATTATATTCAAGAAGAGCTGAACCACGCATGTGGTTTAAACTTGCCGACAAATTTACATGTAATATATAGATCTTTGTGTGCATTTACTACATAGCCTTTTCGGACTGATGTTCGTCACCGTTTCACGAGGTAATATCACTCCACTGAAATCCTCTTAGCTTTATTGCGCTGACAGCTTTTAATGCAAAAGCATTAACTGTCCCATGGAGCGAACTGACGTCATCAGCTTTGAAGCCGCGCCAAACGGCTCCTTCCCCTGTCCCAATGGAGCGAAGCCTGTCTTCTGTAGCAGAAATCTGATGGATAGGCTTCCATTGGCTGGCGCGCATCATCCAGGAACAAGGCTCCCATTGGCTCTCGCATGGCGTAGTTAAAAAGTCCGAGGACACCTAGGCACTTCTTATGAGTTGTGAATGCGAAAGCATGAATGTCATTCTTCGCTCCCTTAGTTCGTCTGCGGCATAGTGGCATAGACGGCCACGTTTCCCCGGCTGACGGCCGAGTGCGCGCTTTCGTGAAGGGGTAGCGTCGGACTGAGCACGGCCGTGCAGCCTCCCCGGAGCTTGCCTGAGCGGGCTCTGCCGCCAGGCCCGCACCACTGCACCGCTCTTACCAGCGGCCGGGCCACTACGTGCGTTGCGCTGCCATGGAGAGGGCTTCTCTGGTGGGTTTTTTTTTTTGGAAGTACGCCGCACAAGAGCCAATGGGAGCCTCATTCGTTGATGACGTGCACCAGTCAATGGGAGCATAATCCATCAGAAATTATTTCGCTCCCTTAGTTAAGGGGATTTTAGGTGCCGTTTGGCCAACGCTTGGCGTGGTTTCAAAGCTGATGACGTCAGTTCGCTGCATGAGACAGTTAATGCTTTCACATTAAAAAAACGCCACCAGAGAAGCCTTCTTCATGGCGGCGCAGCGCACACAGTGGCCCGGCTGCTGGTAAGGGGTAAGACCTGGCCGCACAGCCCGCTCGGCCAAGCTCTGGAAAGGCTGCACGGCCGACCTCAGCACAGCGCAGCCACTTCATGAGAGCACTCTCTCGGCCATTGGCCGCTACCTCGGCAGTTGCAAAAGATGGCAGATGAACTAAGGGAGCGGAAGAACGACATTCATGCTTTCGCATTCACAACTCGTAAGAAGTGCTTACCGTAGAATACCGTGCATCTTCCCATTCCACACTAAGCGCCCATTACCAAATTTGTAAGTTCTGAGAAAATACGCACCATACATTTACATGTAAAATTGATGACCAAACAAGCGCCCACCCCCTATTTTTCTGCGATTATCTCTCAATTTTGAGTGGGCGCTTGCCCGGTATTTTACGGAAGGTGTCCTCGGACTTTTTACTGAGAAGTCCCTGTTCCTGTTTCAGTCTGTTTAAGTAAGAAAGTGCATTCAAAACCGTCCCCTAGCAATCTATCGATTGATAGTAGATTTCTGGTAATAACTTTGGACACATAAGAGATATCGGACCTTTGACTAATTATATTGGCAGAAAAAGAAAGGACCAGTTGGTCAGATGTCAATTAGCTGTCCTACTCAAAGTGAAAGCATTCATTTCCTAGACTTTTATTTTTAATGTGGCTTCCGCAATGTTTGCAGGTCCTTCCACGGCAGACGTGCGGCCTCTACACTCACACCATATTTTTGGAGAGGTACCCGGGGGGCAGAGAGAAGCTGGACAGGAGCATTCACGGGGGAGACCTCTTCCACCTGTTCGTCTACAACCCGGTAAGCCCATGGCGGGCACAGCCCGCAGGGTGAAGCGTTCTACTGCGGTATTCTCCGAAAGCGCACGAGACTCTGCCGCTAAACTTGGAAGCATCCTCTTTGGACATTCCTTTCCTCAAAGACAGGCACTGTCAAGCTTTTCAACCTCAAGGAGCCCCTTCTGGTTTCGACGTTGATGCAGTAAAGGGGGACAGGAGGCTACAGACTTTGTAAGCAGTAATTTACATGGTAGCAAGTGTTTGGCTCATAATTATGCATCAATGAATGGCTCGGGCCTGCTAAAATTGTGCTTTAGCTGGGAAAATACTCTAAATAAAGGCAGATAAGGTAAAAAAAAAAATTTGGGAGCTTGAGGAACAAATGAGGATACTGTGGGACACCTCTGGGTTCCTACAAACCTTGTTTGAGAACCCATGCTCAAAGGGACTGGGATAGAGATTTGCCTGTTATGAAACCATTTTAGTGGAGAAGCCATGCTGCCATCCCTAGGGACTCCGGGCTTGCTCCCCTAAACTTATGTTTTAGTTTTGTGGTAATCTAGATGCTCAGTAGCTCCAAGTTGCCTTGACGCCTGTTTACACATAGAGTGCAGTGCTAACTGTTCTGTGTGTTGATAGCCCCATCCGTCCCTGGGCTTAGAGGTGGGACTTGACATACGGAGCACCGTACGAACCAGTCCGCCAATCCGAAGCAATGTATCGGCTGGCCTCAAAAAATGCTACCACCTCTATGACTGGGTTTGACTGTGCTTGTGTAAGCGAAGTGGCTGCTGTCCTGGTGGCTTCTTACCTGATCTTACGATGGTCCACAAAATGTTTTAGGATTTGCAAGAAATAAACATTTTTGGAAAATGAAAAAAAGAAAAAAAAACATTGTAAAATGCAAAACCTCCCCTGGCCACGATTGCTGTTTGTCATTGCCTTGGATATTCTGAAAATGGCTAGATCGTTGCTTTGATAGAGTCATGAAAAATATGTTTCGTGGGTGTTGCAATGAAACACCATAAAAAAATTTTTTCAAGGATCTAAAATTAAAAAAATGCTTGTTGTTGTCTACATAATGGCACGTGATAAAAGAGAAAAAAAAAAAAGAAACAGGCAAAAAGGGTTTTGGTGGAAAGCAGAGCACAGAGTGTTGACGTGTGCTCACGTAGAAGAAAGTGGTTTTTCACAATGAAATTGTTTTCACTGTTTCTGACACCATCTTGATGCATTTGAGACCGTAAAAATAAATCACAATCGGGGGTGTCAGGGCCCCTTTAGATATGCAGACTTTAAACCATAAGGCTTGCTCACTGAGCCACTGTTCACCAAGTCACTGTGGAAGGTACCGAATTCTCCTCCACATTCAGATCAACATCTTCATGACGCACCTGTCCAACTACGGCAATGACCGTCTCTCGCTGTACACCTTTGAGACGGTGCTCAAGTTTGTCAAGTGCTGGACGAACCTCAAGCTGAGCACCATCCCGCCCCTCCAGCTGGCCGAGAAGTACTTCCAGATGTACCCGGACGAGACAGACCCCATCTGGATGGTGAGGGAGGCAGGATGGATGAAAACCATAAAACAAATCAATTCTTTTTTTTTTTTACATATTGTTAGTTATGAGGTCAAAGCAAGTTGGTAGGCATGTTAGAAGTAAAAGCAGCCTCAAGTATTTAAAATAGCATAAGGAAAAGTAGACACATTTATATTGTTTACAACATTTGTTGATGGATAGTTCCTAACAAATGCAGTGTTTAACTGATGAGGCATAAGGAATTTGTTGTGTTTCATTCTAGTGCCATTATCAGAGTTTGTGAATATCTATAAAGTAATTGACTACATTTGTTTCTTCTGCTTCCAGAACCCGTGCGAAGACAAGCGTCACCTATCAATCTGGTCATCTAGCAAGTCATGCGAACAGCTGCCAAAATTTCTAGTCATTGGGCCCCAAAAGACAGGTGAGTGAATAAAAATACCCCTTCCATAGCAGCTCAGTCTTCTTCGATGCACTTTTAAACTAAAATAAGGTGTTTATAGTCTTGTGTGAAACAGCTTCATTGTCTTTGTTCCCATGTGCATCAGTAGCATCGCCGAAGTTTTGATATGCATACCTATAAGGAAGAAGCAAGATTAATATTACCATGTTGCTAGCAGCAAGCAGATTTTTGAAAGAAGTTGTATCATGTTTCACTTCTTGTTCTGGTTAGTCCGCAGTGTTATTGTAGATTGCTCACTAAAATCGTGAGCAATTTTTCCCGCTGAACCCGCACGGTAGCTGTTTTTACCTTTTGCTTGGTTGTGACCAAAAGTGGAATTACCTCGCTTAGGTAATTCTTTTCGACTATTGTCTACCTACGACACGACCATCAGCTTTCAGTTACTTATTTCAGTTGCATTCCTTCTTTTAGAATCAAATGTCTCTGGATTTCTTACCTTTAAAGCAGAAGGCGTAGCATAGACCAAATCTCGAGATAAGAAAACGAAAAGTAAAACAGCACCAAAATAACAATGGAGGTCAAAGACGAAAAAGTGCGCAAAGTGTACAAACAGAGTTTTAAAATTTCTCTAGTCATCTGTTGACTGTGCCATCTTAAGATAATCGTTTTATCAAGAACGGGTTTGCAACCGCACCTATCAGTGTACTGACAAGTTGCCTGCTGGCGATGATCTAATCGATAGAGCATGCTCTCTTCACCTCTCGTTCACACATCTGCCGGTCTGTCCGATGTAAACATTGCCACATCAAATTGTCCTGTGGCAATGTTTACGTCGGACAGGCCGGCAGATGTAAACATGCAAGTCCCACTGGCTGCGACACGTCATATCAGATGCTTCGTCACAAAAGCCGGCAGGGCTGCTCGAGGTCAAAGCGGATGCGCCTCATAAAAAATAAAACACAAAGAAAAGCACAGCAACACAGATGTATTGTCACAGAAGCCGGTGGGCCACTCAAGGTCAAAGCGGACGTGCCTCATAAACAAAATGCAAAGAAAAGCACTGCAATGCAGATGCATTGTCACGGAAGCCGTGGAGCTGCGCAGTAGGGGAACGTGATGTCACCTCCAGAGCACCTTTTGAAAAAGGAAGATATGGTGCGCTGCTTGTTGGAGTGCTTTCGCGTTCCTACACACAAGCAGTCTTGAAGGGGTACTGACAGGGTATTTATGCCCACCAAGGTTTTGATTTGTACATGACATATGAGAGCCCAACTACCCAGAAAACAATTTGCGGCTCGAAATTTGTTTTCTTTCTGCCCAGAAACCGCCGATCGAGGTCTGGCCAGCTTGAGTCGCGCTCACTCTCTTCTCCCTGGTCACGTGCTGTTTTCTATGGTTTAGACACCACCACTAAATATAATACAAGTCGCAGGTCATCGAGGGCATGCACAATATTAAAAATAGGAAAGAAACATGAGACCCATTTATTGTGGCTGCTAAAAAGCTGCAAAAGGGTTGATTGGGAAAAAAAAAAAAAAAAAAAGTATCACAGGCTACGGGACTTTTGTCAAATTTCTCCTCCCCTATGTTTCTTCCTCCTCCCCAGTCCCGTTTCGGTTTCGAACAGTTGTGTTTCTTTACTAAAAATATATGAGAAGCTGTAGCAAAATATTGATTGGGTAGTCTTCTGACACCGTAATATATCATTGTTTTTTTTGGCGCTGTTTTACTTTTAGTTGAACACTTGTTTTTGATTCGACCTGAAATGATGAAAGCGACCTGTCACGAGTGCAGTCTGCGATGGGGGCCCCTTTTCTATGTGTTTCAGGCACAACAGCACTGTACACGTTTCTCACCCTTCATCCCACTATTGCAAGCAACCACCCCAGCCCTGACACTTTCGAAGAAGTGCAGTTCTTCAATGGCAAGAACTACTACCGGGGCCTCGACTGGTGAGTGTTTTTCAGCATTGAAAGAGCACTAGCATACCAAAGGAACGGCAAGCAATGGGCTCGCACATATAGTCCTCCAAAATTTTGTGTTTGCCTTCTGTGTTTTCATTGCGGGTGCAGAGCGCAATACTGTTAGCACAAACAAGTGTTCAATGGTTTTCCTGTTTCTCTTTTGGGATTTAATCGCTGGCATCAGAACCGGCACTCCACGTTTGTCATGTGACTACGCTCTGCCCAACTGGGAGGTCTTTTTACATGCTCCGGTGGCTCGTAGCATCCGATTTGCTCCATCATAAGGTTCGTCGTAAGGTGGGACAGAGTGTAGTGTCACGAAGGGTGCTTCTTCGGGGCTCCAACCTAGGCAATAGAATTTTGGGCTCATCAGTAACCCGATGTAGTAGAATGCAAAAAAGCTCCGCTGTCGTATTCACACTGTTTGTTTCGCATGGTGCGCAACCATTGCATTTTGTCCCAACGCATGCCATTTTGTCTTTTTCGTACGAAGAAACAAACTTCAACTTGGAAAGTGGAGGCATATTTTTTCTAACCCTGTAAATTGATTTCGTCCGCTTCAGATTTGGGGAGAGGTATATAGATTTTAAGTAAAGGTGTGCGAATACTCGAATATACAAATTTGAATCGAATAGCAAGTCCCCGAATAATTCGATTCGCGAATCGAATTCCTAGTATTCGGTCACTCGAATATTCATTACATTCGGCCAAAGACGCGCGGTCGGTGCGGAGCTGACAAAAGAGCCGTTTTATCTTCCTATGTTAGCGCCGTGATGTTTGACAGACCATGCGATTAACCTCTTGGTCCTACCATTCCACAAAAATCTAATCATGTTAGAAAAAAAGAAAAGTAACGAACGCCACAAACTTCATAGCACACAGATTTACTCATGATCGTGACGCAATCTAACCTTGAGTCACAACCGAAACATCCCGATTGCGCCGCTTCCTGAGAGGAATTGTTCTTTTCACAAGTAAAGCCGCTCATTTCAAAATGAAGCTCCAATGTAGAACAGACTTGCCACGCTCAAAGAAATCGGCGACTGCAAGATCACAAAAAGAAAACCACGTTAACCACATTGATTAAACCAGCCGAGTTGTCGGCGTCATTCTTTCGGAACCGCAAGCCGCAAATTCTGATTCGGAACGAAACGGAACGGAAAAATAGTGTGCCTAGATTTGAGAGGGTTTCCAACCGTTCGATAGCCACTTTTGAATTACGAACGGCGAGAAGGTGACGAAAAGACGAAAGCTTCGTTCGGGCAGGCGTCGTCGCTCTTCCGTTTCCTTGCCTTTTTTCCACGTGACTACAAAACACATGCTCACTTACGACCAATCTGAGCAGGAGCCGTCCCCATGGTTTCAGTTTTGCTTGCTCCCTCTTTTAAATCTGGGCTCTCTAACACAGGATAGGTCGATGGATGCATAGCGATATTTGGATGGTGACTTGTGCCACCTAACCACATGTTTTTTTTCTTACTTCAGATTATATTGTTTAAGCCTGTTTAAGCAGATTTCACAGCTATCTGTTTATTTATATCAAATAAAATCCCGGGTGCTTTTTTTCTCTTAAAATTGAGACCGAATATCGCAAAATGTCCCTTTTCTGAGATATATAAATATATAAAAAAAAAAAAGGACATGTCACGGTGTTAGGTCTTGCTTTAAACGAGAAAAAAAGGCACGCGTGGCTGTAACTTTGGTTGGTTTTTTTTGTTTTTTTTTTGTGACGCTTAGGGTAGATAGATTATGTTTGCGCCATAAAATTGGATCTTTAGTGCCCAACGTCCATCTGCAGTTGCTTTTCTTTTTTCTTTTTTTTTTTTTTTTCACTAGAACTGCTATACATTTTAGCTTTTGTTCGTTATGAGATGCATATTCTGCACCATGCGCATACTCTGCACATATTATAATTTCATTCACAGCACACTTTGTAAGATTCCTACAAATAAAATCACTATTCAATATTCGGCTTTTTTTTCTTAATTCGATTCGGTATTTGATTTATAACTACTATTCGGTATTTGCACACCCCTAATTTTAAGTGCTGAGGAGATAAATGATGTGTGTATGTTGCATTTGGTTTTGATTACTCAAAATAATCTGGAGTAGCTGAACAATTTTGTCTTTGATGAACTCGGAAAGGCTTGTTTGTCTAAATCGTCTTGCCTGCTGTCAGAATAGAACCATGATTGCTTCCAGTGAATTCTCTGGAAGGTATCGTACCGCAGTCTATCATGGTTGGAATGTAATATTTCGACCAAAATAATTCCTTCAAGTCACTCGGTTGTATGGACTCCTGCACGATATCCGTCGAGTCGGGAAAATCGGCGAGTGACTATGGTAATTAAATAGTTTTTGCGGGTGCAATGCAGCTTTTATACTCCGTTTTACGTCAAGTCTGACCACAACCAATGCCACAATTTGACAGAGGCGATCAAGCGGCACCAAAAGTGCATCGTCCTGGTGCCCGTTGTCTTTTTACGTCCGCCATCACCGGCCAAACCAATTGTGTACAGCAAATGCACCGCAGTGCCGTGCTTTCTTTTCTGCCGTCGATTGGTTCAGCAAATTCACTCTCAAATACGATGAGCAACACGACGAGACACTTTTGGCATTGCTCGATCGACCCCGTCAGATCTTAGGATTGGCTGCGGTAGGATTTAACGTGAAACAAAGTCTCACGACCTCATGTTAAGGACCAGAGGTACACCCCCACCCAACGCCGCAGGTACCAGAGCTTCTTCCCGGTGCCCAAGAACGGCACGTCCCCGTTGCTGTTTGAGAAGAGCGCCAACTACTTTGACGGGGAGTCGGTACCCCAGCGGGCCCATGCCCTGCTCCCCCGTGCCAAACTGGTCACCATCCTCATCAGCCCCACCAAGCGTGCCTACTCCTGGTACCAGGTGGGCACACCTCCCTCCCGCCTTGAAGTTCTGCAGACGAGAAATTTTGCGAGGGCACTATTGCCGTTCGCCCGGGGTCTTTGGCACGCACTACGCAGGGGTGGGGATTGAGTCCAGGATCCCTTTGTTCAATCCCCACCCCTGCCCGCTTCGGGAGTGCCCAAACTTCTCGATCATGAGGAACCTTTATCTCTGTCAGTCGAGATCCAAAGAACCCCTCTCGGTCTCAGCATTGCTGCAATAATTCAGTACAGAAGTCTACAGAAATTGTAAACAGGGATGGATGTACTCGGTCTTAAGTAGTAATACATTACTAGTAACGCGTTACTGTAACTTCGTTACTTTTTTTGTAGCTTGTAACTGTAACGAGTTACTTTTTAAGAATGTAACTTGTAACTATAGTTTTATTACTTTTTTTCTGAAGCAGGGGTGAAAGTAGTAACGACGTTACTTTTGTCGTTACTTTCCAGTTTTTTATGAATAATAAATCACTGAATGAGTACAATTTAGCCATTCTTTGCGCTTTCCAAATTGTCTGTTCTGACATTTCGAGTGTCAAGTTATTTATTGCACAAACTTGTGAATACGTTCTTTCTCGCCAGTCACGACCCGATTATAGTCATGTGTAGATTTGGTGAAAAAAAAATGTAGCTATCTTTAGCAAGTGCTTGTACTTTGTGACTGAACAATTGCATCTTAGTATCTTGAAGAACTGTCTCTTTTGCGGTTTTTCTTTTTTTCTGTGCAAACGCTTTTTAATCGGTTGAATCAAACGTGAAACAACAATACATGCGGAGGGCACTGCGAATCTTTCATATTTTGATTAGCGCCACCACTCCGCACTGCGCATGTTTCATATTTTGATTTGCGCCACTACTCCGGTGTAGTGTCAACAGTCGAGGCAAAATTTACTGCTGTTTGCGTGGGGTTTGTTTCTGGCTTGCTAGGTACGAACTGAAATATGTCCTGGGACTCAATGAACCCAGCGCAACCGTCCACGAGCCAGCAATGTGCTAGTGCTACCAAGGATATGAATGTTGATAAGAACAAAGAACTACCACGGCCAGCGTACAGAGAGTATTTTGCTGTTGTGAAGGTGGTTACTAACAACTTGACCGCAGAAAACGGCACTCTGTTGCCTCAATGCCTACCCGGTAATCAAAAACCTGTTCCGGCAAAACAACACAGCAATTCCTTTTTAGGGCGTTAGACGAGCGCCTGTTCAGCAAGGGCAGGGACGTGTTCATTATCAAACAAGGAAAACTTTAGACACTAATTTCGAGAAGCAACTGCTGCTAAGTTACAATATGAATTGAAAAGCACGCTTTTTCATTTTATACAAATAAACTTGGTGAAAAGCGTTTTCTAGTTTTTCCTAATTTTTTTTGTGTTGTAGAAAAGTAACTGAAAAGTAACTATAACTGTAACGAGTTACTTTTTTGTTGCGGTAACTGTAACAGTAACTTTGCTACTTTTTTTAAAAGTAACTGTAACTGTAACGAATTACTTTTTAAAAGTAACTTACCCAAGACTGGATGTACTAGTGAGTGCTTGGCACATAGTTGTACGTCAATGGGTGGCTGAAATCTGCTAATTAAAGAAAGAAAATGCGCTACAGTCAAACCCGGATATATTGAATTCAAAGGGGATTGTAAAATTGTTTGATTTGTCAATATTTTGATGTATTAAAATGTGTTAAATTAAGCTCGAGTTGAGATTCCCTCGCGTCTCTGCTAATATCGAAGGTATCGACAAACGGGAGCTTACCAAATAGAGCATCTAAGAGCCGCTAAATATAGTAGAGCGTACCGTATTTACTCGCACTATGAGCGCACTCGCGTAATGAACGCACCCCCCAAGTAGGCTCTCAAAATTTCGACTTTTTTTTTCACTCGCGTAATAAACGCACCCCCAACTCGGACGTCAAAATTTTGACCCCTTCCCCCCAAGCGCGCGAAATGAACGCACTTTTCTATCCTGGTGCAGCGAGGTCGCGAATGCATGGGCAGCGTGGGCGAACAAACGCCTTGCAAAGGGCGTTAAAAAAATTGGCAAAGATCCAACGGAAGCAAGAAAAAAACAAAAAACATAAAGAGGAGCTTTTCTTCTTTTTTTTTGTTTTGTTTTTTTTGTTTTTTTTTTGCACAGCGCAGTTTAGACTTTGGGTTCGTGCGCCGCCGCGCGCAAGGAGGTAAGGAAGAGAAGCGGAGACGCGCTCTAAGCAAACGAAACAGCTTGCGAAAGGTGGCAAAAAGAAAAAAAAAAAAAAAAACCACGGAGCTAAAAAAAAAACAAAAAAAAGCTTTTTTTTTTTTTTTTTTTTTGCACAGCGTAGTTTGGTTACGGGGCGGGGTCACGCGCCGCGCGCAAGGAGATAAGGAAGATAAGCGGAGTGCCCTCGTCTAAGCAAACAAAACAGCTTGGGAAAGGCGGCAAAAAGAAAACACCCAGGAATTAACAGAAAAAGAAAACACAGTTTTTTTGTTGTTTTTTTTTTTGCACAGCTTAGTTTGGTTACGGGGTCGGGCGCCGCGCGTAAAGAGATAAGAAGTTACTTCGATTTTTCAGGATAAAAGGTCGGTTCATTATGCGAGTAAATACTAAATACGGAGGCAAAAGTTTTACTTCCCGTAATAAACGCTCCCCCTAACTTTGCATCGATTTTTCGAGAAAAAAAAAAGTGCGTTCGTTCTGCGAGTAAATACGGTAGTTGGTGGAGACCACAAAAACCACTGTGCTTACGCGTGCACCTGGCCGGAACCTTCACACAGCTTAAAGGGGTAGTGAAATGAAATTTTAGCGCCGATCTTGTTGCATAAATATGGGCTAGGGACAGGCACCACCTCGGAAATATAAATATTGCGCTGTAAAACACAGGAGAACTAATTTTAAACATAATTCGATTTCAAATTCTCATCTGGTGATTGGGGGAAAGCTCTCGTGACATCACTTGTACCATAATAGCAGCGCCGTTCTGCGGCAATACGGCGTGCCGGCAGAATTCGCCTAGGCCTGAACGCGTTTGCAAAGCCTTGGCGGAGAAAGCCAAAGCGTAGTTGGCCACAGTGAGCTCGTTCTCGTTGCGGCTCTTTGCACGACACGACCCGGGCGTGCTTCTGGCACGGCCGGTATTAGTTGCTGCGAGTCGCGAGCTGCGAGCTGACGTTAAAAAGGATATGTTTGAACTACGAGGGTGTCAGCAAGAGCCACGCAAATACCTGCTCACACTCGGAGCGGGCACGCGCGTTTGATCGAAGTGCTGGATTCGCTCTGTTAGGCCGCGTTTCGGTAAGCGCTTCTGGACCGATCTTTTATGATTGCAACTCGATACTGACATGACACTCGACAAAAAAAGGTTAGACCGACATCGCGTAGCTCCCACGAACTGCTATAGCTCGACAGTGACGTAGCGTCGAGTCAGAATAAAAATGGCATACTAATAACAGAGTGTACATACCGAGTTGCGAAGGTAATCCGTATGGCGTTTATTTAAGCTCTATATCACACAAAACAAGGAGATAGAATCAATGAAAGTCCCTTTTCGACGACAGCGTTCGTCACCGCTGTCTCGGAAAACAAGGAGATCGAGATGACAAGGGGAAAATATTGACTTCTGAAATTTAGTTCAGGGATCAAACTACTCATCCGGTAAGGGTCCACAAGGGTCGCGCGGGCATATTCCATTCAGCAGGCCAGCCGGTCATGGACAGACAGTCTTGGCCAAGGACCGCCGGAGCAACGGTGCGCCGAGTCGATGTTGCTGCTAGGCCTACTATATTCTGCCGAGCTCGCTCGGTCGGCAGAATCGAGGCCGTTGTAGTTCTTCTCGTGTGTTTGTGGATCCTGCGTTCTTGATCGTCGTGGTCTGTTTCAAGTACTCCTTCCTTTTTTCTTGCTGGTTGAAGTCGGGACGCACGAGAAGAGCACGTAGAAAAATAAATGTCCGTTGGTGGCCGATACCAAGTAACTGAGCGACGTTGTCGGCCTTGTTGATTTGATCGTAAAAAGTGCGTAAGACAGCTTCGGAGCTGTCGTAGGATTCTGTCGTAACCTGCGCAAAGGTTACGACAATTTCGTTTCGAGAGTACGGGTTTTCTCTCAAATTTGTCGTACGCACTTTTTTCGTCGCGAGTTCGCTTTGAGAATCCGGCCTCAGAGCTGGTTTTGTCAGTGCTGCCGTGGTTGCCGACTTGCCGTGGTGCAGCGTGCGTGCAGCCCTTGCACATCTCAAACGGCCACGTTGTCACAGGTCGTATATCGTCGACGCGCCACCAAGTGGCAACGCTCGTAACCACAACATTCACGCCGTAGCCTTTCCCGTCTGGCACAAGTGACGTCACGAATGCGCCCAATATCCCAAGACGCATCGCGCTCTCCGATGGCCGATTTTTGAGCGCGCGCCCAATCGGGCCCATTAGGGTGAAAAATATAGCCATCCGTTCAAAATACAAACGCGCGATTATGATTTATGAATATCATTGATCATATTGAACCTATTTCTGACCATAATAGGTGCATTTCAAGTTTCGCTTCAGAGGGATACTGAACCGAAATTTCGAGCTCACTGAACAAGGCCGGGCGGATAGGCGGGAAGCTGCGGAACCAAAAAATATCTCTCATACGGCGATATATCTAACGGATCGCCGTATTTTTTTGGAAAAGAAGTGCGCGATTGAACCCGGCCGACAAGGCCGACGAGCCAAGGCACGTCACGATTCCCATTCTCTCTCCTTCTCGCAACGTCCCGTCAAGCTGCTGAATTGAAGCAAGGAGGAGAGAAGCGAGGCCACTTCTCCTAATTCTCAAATTCTCCCGGAGGACAGTTACGTCAAAGAACTCGCTTGATCGCGCCCTTCTTTTCCAAAAGTACGGCCATCCGTTTGAGATATCGATGTACGAGTGATGTTTTGGAGTTCGTAGCGTCCAGTTCAACACTTCTGCAGCTTTACTTTGCAAAATCCAAATTTTGGTTCAGTATCCCTTTAAGCAACCAAAAACGA